TTCATTGACTAGTTGTTTTCTGTCTTGTTTAGTTCTTAAGTGTATGTATATATATATGTATATATATATATATATATATATATATATATATATATATATATATATATATATATATATATATATATATATATATATATATATATATATATACATATATATATATATATATATACAGGGTGTATAAAAAAAAACTGAACAGATTTAAAATTGCTCTCAATTTCGCAAACAGCTATTTGTATCCGGTTTTTTATACATATAGCCTCTTTGGGTACTTATAATGTAGAATAATGAGAAAAATTTCTCGAAGGGGGGTGTGTCTTTTCCAACAAACTAAAAATGGCTGGCGCACAAAATTTAAAAGCTGCAATCATATTTTGAGTTAACAGATGGAAAATTTGTCGGGATTTTAATTACTGTACAAACTGATTTCAGACAATTTGGTTTAGTTTAAGCCCCTTAACTATTCACGCAAAGTTACAATTTTCCCGAAAAATCAGCTATTTGCATGCTTAATTAATGCATTTGCCTAATTTGCATATGTCAGCAATATGCAAATTAGGTAAAGGCATTAATTAAGCATGCGAAAGGCTGACTTTTTAGAACAAAATGAATAGTTAAAGGGCTTAAACTAAGCCAAATTGTCTGAAATTTTGTACAGTAATTAAAAACCCGACAGATTTTCAATCTATCAACTCAAAATATTATTACAGCTTTTAAATTTTGTGCGCGAGCCATTTTTAGTTTGTTGGAAAAGACACACCCCCCTGGTTCACAAAATTTGAGTTCGAGAAATTTTTTTCATTATTTTACATTATAAGTACCCAAAGAAGCTATATATATAAAAAAAACAGATACAAATAGCTGTTTTGCGAAATTGAGAGCAATTTTAAATCTGTTCAGTTTTTTTTGATACACCCTGTATATATATATATATATATATATATATATATATATATATATATATATATATATATATATATATATATATATATATATATATATATATATATATATATATATATTATTTGTGGCAAAATCAATAAATAAAAAAAATAAATAAATTTGTAATGCAAAATGACTGAAAAACAGCAAACTTCGCAAGGCTATATTATCCGCACTTTAAAACATTTCGCAACGAAACTTCGGAATATTACTAATTTTGTGATGCTCTTTCAAGCTGCGACGAAATTTTTGTCCAGACTTGTCTAGATCAAAATTTCACTCAAAAGGGGAAAGGTCTATTGTGATGTTGTTTCCTAACTGTGTTTATCCTAACCCACCCTGTCAACCTTCCCTGCATGTGGGAGGAAACTGGAGCACCCGGGAAAAACCCCACGACTTTCGGCACAGCGTTGACCTGAGTCCTTAGCGAGAATCGAACCCGCAATGTCAGCGGTGAAACACGCTTGCTCTGACTGCGCCATGGAAGCTCCCTAGATTAAATCGTCATCAAGTCGTTACAACGAGTTCAAGCTGGAAAGACACGTACCTGCTGGGTATTGGTTCTCGACAACCTGGAAAATGTGAGCCAGGAGAGAATATTAGAATATTGACGTTTTTAACCTGTTAGAAAAGTTGGAAGAACTGTTTTTTTAGGCTGTTGAGAATTGAAAGGCTTTACGATTGCATCCTATACGCTGACTGTTTCACTATTTTACAAACTATTCATGTATTTTGTTGCCGTTAGACTGAGTTTGCCAGCAGATGTCTTTTAAAAAATTAGGTATGGTCCGAATTATAACGAGTCGTACACGTGCTGTTCTGATGACAAGGAATTGAACAGGAAATGTTAAACGACCACCAACTCGTAATTAGAAGAGCTCTATCTGTTCTTAGGGAAAAAGAAGAAACGTTATACCAAATCAATACAAGATAGCAGTGACAGTGACTCAGACAGGTACTGCAACTGCAAGCTACTTTAAAGTGCATATGATACGAAACTACATGAGGTTTATACTCTCTGAAACGAAAGAACTCATAAAACTGTTGCGTAACTTCTCTTATAGATTTTTATTTTAATGTTTCATTGTTGAGATATTTCATTTTGATGTTTGTGATGTTACTCTGAGTGTGTATCCACACCGGGCAGGCTTGAAAAATATGCCTAGCCACGATGGGAATCGAACCTACGACCTTTGGAATGCTAGCCCAATGCTCTGCCAACTGAGCTACGCGGTCAGGTCGGTTCGAGCTCGAACATCTGTGTCAGCGGAGGTAGTGTTCGAACATCTGTGTCAGCGGAGGTAGTAACAAAAACGCCAGAGAAATGCAGATGGATATCGATTCATCTACCTGAAAAATACAAGTAAAACTTCGACGTTTCGAGTTAGTTCCTGTAGTTCCTTCCCAACCTCGTCAGTAACCGTGGACGCAAAATGCCCTGGGTACGAGGTTGGTTCCTTCCCGGCGAAGTTAGTAGTAGCTTCCCGACAAAGGATCTTCGCTCGAAACGTCGAAGTTTTACTTTGTATTTTTTAAACAGTTGAATCCATCTGCATTTCTATATATTTTAGTGTGTTATCAGGTCATTTGCAGTGATTAAAAATACAAGAATAAAAATGTGAAACAGAAATATTGTTATAACAAAATGGTTTGTGATGTGTAGTTCTAGATCACGATCTTTAAAGAAAGCTTTACAAGAAAGAAATTTGCCCAGAAAAAGAAAATCATCAATTACACCAGAAAGGAAAAGGTATACAAGATAGTGTATATCTCCCAAATACTCGACGTTAATAATCCACAGTATAGGCAGGCTTCTTGTAGATGGAATTTTTGAACGTAAATTTATTTACATTTCAGACCCCAGGGCCTGTACATATAGCTACATTTTTCGCAACTGCTCCTGGTTAGGTGTAAAATACATACCAATATACGTTGGGAAATTCCATCTCCACAAACCCACCTACCATTGGTCCTACATTATTTTGCTTATAACCCGCGTCAATGGTAGATCTACAGGGGCGTAGGAAGCATCTAAAAGTTTGGGGGGCAGGCTTTGAGGGGCAATTTTCGAATGAAAAGGGCACCTAAAATTTTTTTCCCGGAAATGTTGGCGACGGGGAAGGAGGTCATCTCAAAACATTATTCCGGATAAATAACATGTTTTCCCGAAAATGAAAAAACTTTCCGGGCACACCAAAAAATTTTCCGGAGAAATCATATTTTTTCCGAACATAACATAATTTTCCCCGAAAATAACAAAATTTTTCAGGACATACCAAAATACAAAAACAAATGCAATCATAAATCAAAGGCCTTTGGGCAAAAAATCCAATCTGAACGACATTCTGTTTCACGGAGGTAATGGGCACTTTGCAGTTTGCTCCCGGAAAAAAGGGCACTTTTGAAAACTTGGGGGGGGGGGCTGGCCACCCCGGTTCCTACCCCGTTGTTATACATGCACTTCACCACTTGCTTCATATTTGAGAACTACTGTATGTAGCAGACTGCTGCACGATCACATGCCGGATTAAATTGAAAGTTCCTTTTAACGTTTTCCATGCATATGGCCGCATTTGATCAATGTGTGTGTAATTCTTTGGCTTGTTCATCTGTGCATTATTTTTTATTTTAATAATTTGCAATGTTGTTTGTTGATTTTAATAATTTGTAACCGAAAACCGCCTAGATATTTTTTCCGAATAGCTTCATCAGAGCAAAACACGCATTTTTGGGCTGCTATGTTTAAAACTTTGTTTTGTTAATATCTAGGAGAAGAAAGAGTTCATCAAGTGAGGAATCATGTAAGATTATTTTGCATCTTTGAATCTATGTGCAATAAATTTAACTTTGAAGTAATAAATAGAGTTCATTTTTGTACTATATATATAGTACCACTGATACTGAATACCTGTACATTTAATTTTTCCTTAAGTTTACCATATTCTATATTTTAGCATCTGATTCTGACGAGAAAGAAAAGAAAAAAGAGAAAAGGAAACATAAGAAACATAAGACAGACAGGTATAAGACATAGCAAAACCATATACAAAAATATAACCAAATCACACTCACTTGAGATTCCACTGACTCCTCCCGACATAAGATTAGACGTTGTATGTCCAAACCCTTATTTGGAAAGCTTAACTATGTCTATGACCTACAGTAGCCTGCGTATCATGTAGACCTAACCCACCGTCCTCCAAACATAACGCTTGCCACACGGTACCCGGACACTTTGCCGAAAGACATTTTGCCGACGGTCATTTTGCCGAACGGACGTTTTGCCGAACGGATATTTTGCTGAACGGACATTTTGCCGAACGGACAGTTTGCCGAAAGGACAACTTGCCGAAAATAAAGATGTTATTTCGTCAAAATGTTTGGGACTGTGACTCATTTCTCAACTGTGTAATTCTCAATCATTTTGTAAAATAACCATTATATGGTCATTAGCAGTGCATAATGGTCATTAGCAGAGCATGACGGTTGTTAGCAGTGCATAACCATATTGACTATTGGTAGCTTGTTTATGCAGCGGATGACTCATTTGTTAGGAACGTGTCTTGACGTCAGATCGTAAACAAACAAGCGTATATAAAGATGACGTAAGCGAATTTGACTTCGAGAATCATGGAATACATTCACTGCAGTTCTCGGGGAAATCACATTCATGAATGATGTTGAATGATGTTATTCTTTTTATCGCGAATTTTCGGTAAACTTGTCAAAAACGTGAAAGAATATAAAACGAAACTATACCTCACTATCAAAGTTTCTGTCATCAAAATCGACAATTAATGACTTTAATCACAGAAACTTTGACCGTGTAAGCGAACATTTAAAGTTCAGAAGATATCTCTATTTTCGGCAAAATGTCCGTTCGTCAAACTGTCCGTTCGGCAAAATGTCCGTTCGGCAAAATGTCCGTTCGGCAAAACGTCCGTTCGGCAAAATGTCCGTCGGCAAAATGTTCGGCCACCTTGCCACACAAGCTAAGCCTATAGGAGACATTTTTGTTGTTCATTAGATAATTCGATTGACTCTTTGGCATGACATCGTACTCTGTGACGACAGTTGGATGGCATTCAAATTAGTTAAATCAAACACTCACTGTATAATTTTTTCAAAATGTGTTGGTCTCACTAGAAACATTTTGACGAAGATTGAATCTCGTATACTGTACGTTGAAATTAATTTTATTCATTATTTTGTTTAATTACTAGTAAGAAGAAGCGGAAACATGAGAAGAAAAAGAAGAAACATCGACACTGAAACTGATTTATCTGTTGATCGTCACATTACTTGTGGCTATCCTGGAACAACGCAAACTAAAGTTAAACTAACACAATTGGATTTTGGGGCATTATAAGTGAAACATCCCAAGCTCAGCTTCTATTGAAACTTTCATGGATACCTTCAAGTCATTTTACACCACACTGTCTATGTCATACACGAATTGAATGGTTAAGAACGTCCCATGTACGTTTCATTGCTTGACACGTATTATGTACTTTGGCAGAAATATTTTTATTGTAAACTTACCACATTGTATTGTGTGTAGTCTGTTTATCTTGTAAATAAATTTCGACAGAATTCGAACGTCCAAAGTCAGTATGAATTCGGTAAGTTTAATAAATAAATATACTGAATTGTTTTCCCAATTTACACTCGTGTTGATATAACTGTATATCAACACGGAAAATGTTTAAATTTGTTAAACATCAACTGGCAGAAGAAGAGTGTGATGACCCCAATTCTCAGGACTTTCCAAATCGGCTGAATTTACACTGAACAAAATGATAATAATTACGAAATATATACTGCCATTCTGTATATTTATTAATACAGTTTTCAGACATTTAAAAGCACAATTCATTTTACGTTTCATTTATCAATATTCAACCAATTGTATTAAAATATTCTTCGTGAAGTCAAAACAAAACCCACAAATGCTCGACTTTTATGCGCAAAAAGCACATTGGACTTTTAGTTATACTTTGTCCCGAAACAAACCATGTCCTCATTGTCAATTTTGCGCTTAGAGGTCGAGGTTTTGTGTTTTTGATTTCGAGAAAGCAACCTGCATGGAATTATATAGTTGTAAATACACTGTGTATATAAAAAAGTTATTTATTTTCTGCCTGGGAACGGAACCAATCTTACTGGCACAACGTTGAGTTAGGCCAAAAAAAATGTTGGTTTCCCGACCCTACCTAGCTTTTGGACGCCGAAATCCCGACCCTAAACTTTTTTATTGGATCATGTTTGTAAGTGTTTCCACTTAGAGGAAAACGTTTGTGAAAAATGGAAATTTGAGGCAATATTAGGGAAATTTATCTTTGAATGTGGAAGCACTGACTAAACAAAATGGCGTCCGGTTGTTACGAAAATTAAAAAAAGTTTAAAAAAAATTTAAAACCGACCTGCCCTACCGACGTTTTTACAAGAAGAAATAGGAAAACCACATATTTTTTTGGCCTTATAAAATTGGGGGTATATGAAATGCTGAACCATTAAGTCTCCTTACGAAGGGACTTTGCAGGGCCTTAAGCCTAAGCAAGCGTCATTTTTGTCAACACGGACGTCAGATGGCCGGGAAGAGACTGGAAAAAACTGTATTTGCATGTGTCAGTTTGTGGTAGTCTTTAAAACATAATTATGGCAAAACATAAGTTTTTTGCTTCGTTACACGAGCGCTATGTCCTATGAAGCAAAATACCGCCAAAATTGGTTTTAAGCTCACTAATACAGTTCAAAGAACGAGACTGGTTGTGTATGGTATTCGTTGTCGATACTGATAGGGAGTCGTGCGTTGCTTCGCCCCGAAAAAAATTATGAAACAACCCGTAGTTAAAATATTTACCTAACAAAAAATTGTATCAAACAGCCTTAGGCCAGTAAAATTGGTTCTCGTAGGATATCATCTCTCTCCTTCGCGAAGGCTTTTACACTACGAGAAGCATGCAGTGCGGAGAACAGCGTGGATATACGGTTATACTGATACTGTTCTGGCCAGAGTAATATATTGCATATTCGATATATAGAACTATGGAGCTAAATTTTATCTTAAATCCATCAACATGGATGCTGGATTTTCAAGATACGATTTCCAAAGATTAGAAAATCTACACATTGTTGCGCCATCAATAACACGATGGTCAGCTGACCATGATACACACATCACATGAGCTTTAAATATATCATCTTTGTCGTTATATCTTGGTACAGCCTGTACACGAACAGAGATACACGTGTTAGTATTAAGATTACATTGGTTTTTGTCCTCATGCACTGCATGTAGGAATAGTTTTGTCCAAATGTGTGGAATCGAATCACTTTCTGAAAAAAAGTATTTCTGATTATACCAAAGTTGGATGAGAAAACATTTGATGTAAAGTTTCATAAAGTTGTGCCTAAAATTCTGATACATATATGAATATCACTATCACTTTTAGATTATTCAACATGCACATATACCTGTGCTTTTCCTAAAGCTCCGATGGCGACTTGTGGTGGTAGAATGACGGGATCAGCGTATGTACCACCAATCTGTTGAGAAAGACAAATGATTAACGTTGATACTCAGGGTTCGTACATATCAGAGAGTGTCAAATTCAAGGACTTTTCAAAGACATTCAAGACCATGTATCAGCAAATTCAAGCACTAAACACTGAAAAGAAGGCGTTAGAAATCTGTTCAATGTCACGTTGAATTGTTCAAAACGCAACTTTAGTGAATTTCAAACAGCTTTGTCAGATATGATCATCGGCAAAATCAATTCAACAAATTATTATACACTCACGCGCACTTAACCAATCAGTAATCGTTGAGAGGGTCACGTGCCGATCCAATATTTTACGATATTGGACAGGAACCTATTGGACAGTTGCGAATTGTGGCTTTTTCCATGGTTTTTCAACCCTTTTCAGATGTTTTGTCAATTTCAAACATACGACAAACGATATGGCAGAATAATGAAAAGAATTTGGGACATTAATACAGTTTTTTTCTACCAGTTTTATTTAAAATTATAAAAGCGCGCGAAAACGTGTCTTCGCGAAATTTATTTGTTTGCAACAGCCTAGAAGTTAGCAATATTATTTTTTTCGTTAAAATTAGGTCAAATTTCCTTTAAACATACATGGAATTGAGTTTATTTATGCACACATATTTGTAAAAACAGGTTTATTAACTTTTTTTTTAGTTATTTAAGGACTTTAAGCAAATTCGCCGCCGATATATAGTAATGTTGTCGCTGTATTAGTCTCGCTGTATTTACTTTATCGCTTATTGACAATTTTTGTTATAGAATTGTTTTGTTCGATATAATAAAACTCCTATTGGATTCATCTTCGCTCAATATGGCAAAATATCAAGTCTCGACTTCAATATTAGGCTCGACCTTCGGTCTCGCCCAATATTGAACTCTCGACTTAATATTTTGCCATATTGGGCTCAGAAGAATCCAATAAGATATAATGTCCGTTTTTGAATGTCAAATAATTTCAGAAAATATCCATAAACTAAACCAAGAAGAATTCAAGAACTTCTTTACAAATTCCAGGACATTCAAGGCCTTGAATTTTTGTTTTCAAATTCAATGACATTCAAGGACTTTAAATTCAAGTTTTGTACGAACCCTGAATGCTAGTGTTCCTTTAGCAGTTTAGCCTCTGTTAGTGATAACCTCATTATGCATTCAAAGGGGATAGATGCCTTAAGAGGATTAAGAGTTCGTTTATTTACATTTTTTTCTGTGCCAATACGCCTATCGCAATGGGTACTTGCAATCATTCACGTTTTTGTGAATTCTATATTGAAATCGTGCGAAACAGGTGTTCAAAACCGGAAGTGCGAAATCGAAAATTATTCAGCAGGCGTTTCCCTGCCTTTCTCAAAATGCACGCAACCCCCCTAAATTCTCGCGCCCGGATGGAGTTCAGTTAATAACAAAAAAATGCATGAGGGTAGGGTCTACAGGCAGTTTCAGTCTTTCAGAGTGAGAAAACAGTGTTCATGATGCATCAGTATTTTCTTATATGTTGTAGTCTTGTATGTAATATATGAACAACGAGAGCGAGTGTTTCACCGGGATATCCAAACACGAGAAAACAATGTCATACATTCATACATTGTTATCGAGTGTTTGGGTATCCCGGTGAGACACGAACTCGAGTTGTTTATATGGCTTCTCAAATTAATCGAGACGTAACAGAATGTTTTCGTCTGCTGATTTGAATAGAATTCTTAACCAAGCATAACGTAATTAGGAATTCTATTCAAGTGATTTTGCATGCGTAATTAAGATATTTGATGAAAACACTAGTGACTTTCATCTAGTTTCACCGGGTTATACAAATGGCATCTTGTGATCAAATAGGTGATTATCATTGGCTGAATTGCTCATGAATTATTAATGATTTTGAGAAATATAAATAATTCTCTAATAAAGAGATCAATGTATTTTAATATCCTTGCTCCAAAAAGTGAACAATTGTCAATTCTGAAGTTGACAATCATCTATATATTGCCCCGTGATGCTTACTAAAAAGACATCAATTTCATATTTTTCTGAACGTTAATACTAATAAGGAATACTTTGGATACCTTGCCATAGAAACTAGCGTATTCGGGGACCACCAATCCGCCGAGATACAAGCAGATTAGATGGGATGTTGAGATAGAACTGACTTAGGAAACGAAGCAATTTTTGTAAAGCTAGCCATATTCAAGCGGAACACAGGCTAGAATAACAAGGGCCTTGCAAGAATACAAATGCTAAGCCAAAAGAGCAAGGAAGCTGGAGTTGAAATTGCAGTGGGATTTCAGTGCAAGCATAATTAATTTGCTTATTGGCTTCGTCGGGAAGAATGGTAGAACATGCTTAATTGTCGAAAAGGCCTATTAACAGGGGAAGACAACGATACTTACAGATCCAATATTTGACAGAGAGAATGTTCCTCCTTGTAAATGTTCTAGTTCCAGTCTCCCAGCCAAGGCGAGGTCTTGTAAAGTATTAAGTTCTTTAGCAATCTCAAAAATTGATTTATTTTGAGCATTTTTAATATTAGGAACAACAAGACCTTGACTGGTGTCCATGGCGATGCCTATATTGTGTGAAGCCTGCAAATAAAATTCACATTATTGTTTACACCAAGTGACCAAGATATTTTATTTCATGGCAGTACCTTCCCTATTTACTGAAGGCTGGGAAATGTTTTTTCAAATTCTTAAGAATTTCGTTTAGCAGCAACCACACGGTCAAGTAGCCTTGATTTATGTCATACAGGGTTTCCCAAAAAAGTATACCTTTAGAAATCAAGCTTTGTTGGAATTTGAATTACTATGCAGAATCCACGAGTGCGTAAACACAATTGAATCGAATTTTATGCATGAACTTTGAGTTTGCGTACAATTTACAGGCACAGTTCAACCTTTTGAATGATGGTTTTTAAAGCAAAAATAAAAATTGTGCAGGGGAAACAGAAAGAAAAAACATTCGTGCACCAAAAAAGTTTGAGAAAAAAAATTCGTGCAGCGCCTTTTCAATAGGGAAAATTATAAGTTGAAATAAATGAAATTCGTGCAAAGGATTATATTTAAAAAATTTATCGACACAAGCAAAAAATTAAAATATTCGTACAAGTTGAAAAAGCCCCCCCCCCATCACTTTTCTAATGTCCGCCCCTAAACTCATCGTTTTTAACATTTCAAAAAATTTTGTATTGTTTTTAACATTGAGTTTAATGATCCTGAATTATGCATAATTGATTTTCCTAGTTAGTTTTTTCAATTAAAAGGGCTGAAATGCGCCTTAAAAACCATCACTCAAAAGGGCTGAACTGTGCCTTTAACACGATAAAGACTCTTTGCTCGCTGGTCAGTTGAACCATTTCTGCTCGAGGTGACGGTGTGACTCATTAGACATTTGAGCATTTTTGTGTAGTCACTAATATTAAAAGCTATTTTAAATTCCCAGTAGAAAATCTGTTACTTATCAAGAATATAGAGTTACTTATTTAGGTCTCGTTTTTCAATACATCCTGTATTTGACGCTTCTGTGGGTTCAGTATAATGCTCTGCAGGCATTCAAATTATTACAATAGGAAAATTTCACAAAGGTATACTTTTTTGGGGACACCCTGTAATAGACATAATTATTTGACCACATATACAGTAGGGATGAAATTAAGTACCATTATTAACATACTTTAAAAGTTATATTTTCACAATTTTCATCCACAGAGCTGTTCAATATGGGATAATAACTTAAGGCCATGGACGCTGCTTTGATAAACACCGGCATAAATGATAGTTTAACTCCCCTATCCATTGATATTTCTTTTGCATTCTCTCTGAAACTGTAAATATTGTAAAACAATAAAAAACGTTAAAAAGCAAGGGGTGGAAAAAGTATTGGACCACGGGACCATGCATTGGTCCCAGAATATAATAATAATAATATTCTAAGTTTCCAGAAAATATTGACCCAAGAAAGAAAAAAAGATAATTGTTAGATAAAAGGAGAAATTCACTGCACTGTAGATATGACCTCAGAAACGCAATTATAAGTGCAAATCTATCTTAATAGTGCAATAGTACGTGTATATAGACTATATAATGATGTAACAAATGTTGATGTAACAAATGTATTTTTGTCCAATCCAAGATACCAGATTCTCAAACTTTTCAGGGGAGCATGCCCCCCAGATCCCCCTAGTATAGTGCTCCCTAATAGTGTCCTTTTTTGGCATCTGTAAATTTACCTTAGGGTCAGACCCCTGTGCATGTTATCTAAATCAGATTTATGTTATATTCCTAAAAGTATTATTAAAATATTTGTCATGTGCTTGTTGCGCTTGGAAGATTACAATTTGTGTGTTATAGTTTCGGGCGATAAAATTTAAAATACGAGTTTGAAAAACGATTTTGATTGGTCGATCCATGAGCTATTGGACCCATACCCCCTGTGGCGTTCACAAACGCGGCCAATATGAGTGAATACGATATATTTTGCTTTATTTTGCTTGAAAATCTGCCTGAAAATCATGAAAACTAGTCACACTTAAATTAATTTGGGCAATAGAATAGGTAATTCGTTATGGTAATGTTTCGTACTCTTGGCTCACTCTGATTCGTATTGATGGCATATGATCAGGGGCGTCGTGGGTCCCATGTTTTTTTTTTGTTTTTCTTTGGGGGGGGGGGGCAAGGCCAGCATTTTCCCGACAAACACAATTTTTTCCGACATAAATAATATATGAAGTCATATTGAATTACATATTCTATAAACGTATATTGCGAAAACGTAGAGTGAGTCCGATTTCCGATATATTTTTTTATTCAAACATGTTTCCGATTGTCAAACAACGAAGAGAAGTAAAATTCCCGCTCGTATATGCAGGTATGCTTGATCACGAAGATTCCGACAACATAACAAATTTCCAATTTTCCGACATGCGCCACCCCGGCGCCATTGCATATGATCACCTTGATCTATTATATTCGAGAGTTATTATTGAGAATAAATTAAAGCGTACAAGACTTACAAGCGTACACGTATGCTACGACTGTGTTTGTACAAGATTTGGGACTTTTTAATTGAACTGTATTTTACTGATAGTAGATTTGAAAGTTGAACGTTTCACATTTCGCACGTGTTAATTCAATGATTTAGTAGATACTTGGAATAGTGTGAGAAAATTGAATCATATTTCTATTGACATGTCTGCTCAATGCCTTTTATTTCCCAGTGCTACCTGGTTCTATTCAGTAATCAGTAGATGCATGTCCGCCACAGCGGATCTATGTTTATTTATGTAACACGTGAAACATAACACTCGAAATATGAAGCGTGATACGCAGCGCGTGACACTGAAGGAAGCAAAGGTTTGCCGAACAACATCGATGATATACCGTATCACAGATTTGTATATAGGTAAGTTTGGTTCGAATTTTATATATCTAGTCGTGTTAGCCGCATTCTCCAAGCATCTAAGTTTGTTTTAATAGTGATTCTTCGCATTAATTTAGGCACATTCCTTATATAATGTTCAATTTTGTAAAAATATTTTTGTTGCAGATCTTTGAAGTGTAATTGCGCCTGCAATATCCTGGTTGAATGTGAGAGGTACAATAATATTGCTGAATAGATATCACGGCGTTATTTAACATTGGTGTTCAACTGTTGTTCATTTACCAATGTGCAATTATTTGCACAGATGCATTTCTGTTTTAATGTGAATAGGAGATCAATGGACAGCAGCGACGCTGTGGCGTTCTTAGCCGTTCTATGTATAATCTGTATAATACTTCTCATAGTTATATAAAGGGCTCAAGTTTGCGAGTACTGTATAGCTACTGTTTGCGTTCTGTGGAACAATAATCACAACGTCTGTTATACCTTTGCTATAGCAATTTTTGTGTTGTATTTAGTTTTCACTGCAAACAAGATAACTATCGTGTTCCTCTACCAAGTTAATTAGTTCTGAAATTGAGAATAAACTTTTATTTATTTATTATTTATTAACTTTACAACCATACATAAAATAGACTAAAAAAACTACATAATATGGTTGAAGGTATGGTCAACAGGACATGAATAGCCCCATATGAAGACCAACCTTAAGGATATTTAAGCGCCCTTGCTAAATTTCAATCTATGTGATTGTTCTCAGTTTATCACACTGCTCTCGTGCTAATCCTCCACCATCAGACAATTACTTCGGAGTCATTACTGTATCAGAAAAAAACATATTGTTCCTCATGTCTACTTATATCACACGCTTTCCCGTTCCAGGACTTCCACATTGACAAAACCTGTTCATAGTAGATAAGAGACGACACATGAAGACGTTTGGCAGAAGGATGATACCGAGTTACTGTTTTCTGATCTTGTTCATCATGTCCGTTAAGCAGACTTTTCTAGTGGAAGCCGGAAGTGACGATGTTACATACTGCCAAGCTGGCAAAGCAAAGGATGGGCAGCCAGTGATTTTTTTATTTAGAGGGCGGTGCAAGCTTTGTCAAAGACACAAGTGGTTCAGACGAGGATAAAATACAAGATCTTATCCAAAAATTCAATGTTTACGCTATTCCCAACAGAGGTACAAAAAAAGCTATTTGGAGTTATGATAACAAGTTTCGAATGGACATTGAAATCCAATCGTCAATTGTCATTGTAATTGCGCGAGCTGACAATCTTTACTTACTGTACGCTGAAGTACTTTATTCTGTTTCCCAGCGCACGAATATCCCAGATCATGTTGTTCGTCGGGCATTAGGTTGGAGTTTAGATAACCATCAAAAAGTCAGGGTACGTGTTGGTTATCAAAGGGCTCGCAGAAGTGATGGAAACGATATACCTCCCTGCTCATCAGGCTTGAAACTCAGAAGCTGGATGCCGTTCTATTTAGCTAGCATCGTGTTGGCTGTCGTCTTTTTGCTGTATGCTTAATTGATGTTTTAGAACTGTCCACATGCACGTTCATGTCAATAGAAATATGATTCAATTTTCTCACACTATTCCAAGTATCTATTAAATCATTGATTAAAACTTTTAAATGTACTATCTAAAATACAGTTCAATTAAAAAGTCCTAAATCTTGTACAAACACAGTCGTAGCATACGTGTATACGCTTGTAAGTCTTGTACGCTTGAATTTGTTCTCAATAATAACACTCCAATATAATAGATCAAGGACATCATATGCCATCAGTATATGATATCGTGTGGGGAGATAAAAACAACTCCACTCTAATGAACCACCTTCAAGTTCTGCAACATAACGCTGCGAGACTTATCCTTGATCTTCCTCGCCATTCCTCCGCTACCGAAGCCCTTGAAACTCTAGAGTGGAAACCCCTTTACCTACGTCGAAAATACCACCGTTGTATCTCCGTCTTTAAATGTCTTAACCATCTAGTCGACTTTGATTTTAACCTTACCATAATCTCCCGTATACATAGCCATAAAACACGCCAGAATAACAATTACTACCTTCAACGCACACGTACGAATTGGGGAAAACAGCAATTCACTTATCACTCGGTATCGGAATGGAACTCTTTACCTATTGAACTGAAACAATCTACTAATCTTAATCTCTTTAAATCCAAACTAAAACAATTTATCTAATTAAGTTGAACAATTTATCTAATTAAGTTGAGTTTTTTCTAACTATGAAGTATAATTATATATAATCCACTTGTAAATATTTTATAGTTTTTAAATAAGCATAGACGTATAGTTTACGAATACCATGTATAATATACTGTAGATATATATTACAGGACCTCCCTGAAAAACACTTCGGTGAGTGGAGCTTCCTGAATATATAATATTATTATTATTATTATTATCATTATCAGTACGAATCAGAGTGAGTCAAGACAAGAGTACGAAACATTACCATAACGACTAGAATTACCTATTCTGTTGCCCAAATTAATTTAAGTGTGTGTAAATCAACTCCTTAATCCCTTCATTACTTTTCAGGACGAAAAGCAATAAAAAATTCGTCAAAAGAAGCAGATTATTTCAAGCAAAATATATCGTATTCACTCATATTGGCCGCGTTCGCTATGGGTCCAATAGCTCATGGATCGACCCATCCTCGTCCGGCTTCGGGCGCCAAGCGTGGGCCTGGGGACGAGGATGGGATCGACCAATCAGGATCGTTTTTCAAACCCGTGTGGCCAGAGCCACTCAACGATGACTCTGGGTACGAGATTGGGTTTTCCTTCCCAAGAGGAAAGAGCCTGGGCTGGGAACGAGGTTGCGTTCTCTTTTGGTCCCAGAAAGCAAAATATTATTTTCACCCCTAATAAAAAGCTTGATCATCAACTGAGTTTTTGGTACAGCAAAAGTAGATATACGTTAGCAAAGATTGCGTTATACAACATAAACAATGCAACATACATTTGGGCATGAGTAATTGTCTATTGTTTAGTAATTACCTAAACGTCTAGTAAGAACCTAACCCTCTCTCTCTTCCTTGCTTATACTAACTCTTTCTTTTTCGCCTTAACCCCTCAGAAAGAAAACAGACTTTATGAAAGTCTAGTAAGAAAACGTATATCGAAACAGCCATAATTTTAAATCCTTATTTAAATAAAATAAAATATTGTTTTAGCTTGAATGAACTACCACAAAAGATATCGCAGTATTTAGCATTTTGTAATGTCTGGCAAGTAAATGGCATTAGTTTACATTTTTGAAAGGTGACTGTAATGTCTCCATAGAAGAAGACAAGATGTCGAGATATGGAAAATGATGTTTTTTTAGAAAATTAGGTGGATGATCTTGCGTCATGGAAGTGTTACTTCTAACTAACATTGTATTCTTTTTTGTTTTTATTTCTTTGTAAAAAGGCAGCGCAAGCATTTCTGTACAAAAATTTACAATTCCCTTCAATCCCAAGAGTTCATTGTGAAGACTCCCAAATTAAGACTATTGAATTCAAACAGCAATCAGTAAGGAATCGTGGCACATTCAACGCCAGGAAGTGGTGCAACGCCAGGAAGTTCGTAAAACTGAAATTAACTTACGTGATTAGTCTGTTGAGAATGATTTCATCACAGTAACCAAAATGCGGGATTCTTAAAGCATTACTCATTGTTTTTACCATCGCTTTTCTATATCCAGTGATGGGTTCAGTCCTATCTTCCAGAACAGGTTGTGGAATGGGAGGCGGAGTGGGTGCAGCCACGACTGGTGTACGTGGGGAAGTTGTGGCGGTGGGTACTACACTGGTTAAGGGTGATGGAGTAGGCTTGGTGGGGGAGGGCACCGTATCTGAAAGCAACAAATCAACCTGGGATGTTTAAAAACACCTTTCTAATAGAGGCACACAGTAGTAAACATCAATCTTCAGTTAATTTCTTAAACTCAGAGTTTACCCTTTTTACACTGCATATGCGAAAGAAATTGTGGCTAATACGAAAATTTACTCTAAAATCGCACCTTTCTGCTTCAGAAAATTCAGAATATCTTCTTTCAATATCCTTCCATCTTTTCCTGAACCAGGAACATCGTTCAGATTTACCTAAGGTGACAATAACAGGCAATAGGTGGGTTTCAAGCAAACTCGCGCGACAATAACACAAAGGTAGATGGAGGGATTCTAATGAGATTCTTTTGTTTAAATGGTCTCCATGTGCACTGGAGCATGATGAAAGCTACATAGCCGTTATGGACCTCAAGATGACAAATTAACGTCTAACAAGTAACAATAATCAAATCATTCCTAATTTCCCAAATGAATACTCTCCAAAAAAGATTCAGTGACCAACACTTCATGAAGCATGGTGAGGGAGGTGTGCAAATTTAAGCTTTGACCTATTTCAGTCCTCAAATCTATTATTGGTGAAAATCATTCTGATACAGTAAATTCAGCCAAAATCAAGTATATCAGACTTTCATGATTACAAAATATTGAAGGAAGGGAAGTCCTTCCCCTAGTGCCCCGCTACTGATCTCACGTATTTGTCTTGAAATTTCGCGCTACTGATCCTACTAATGTGTCTTGTAATTTCCCTTCAAACACTACAAGATACGTTCAACACTATTAAAAGTTGGCATACATTATTTTCCATCGCCATTTTCCGAACAGCTGGGGTTGCTAGTGCTTTTCCAGAAACCTGACGGGTCGACGTTTGTTCAGTACTGGATGGTGAGGTCTGCTGTGGTTCAACATGGCTTCGAACGTCTTCACGTTGTACAACTGTTTCTGTAACGCTATCATCATCTAGTGAAAATGTTTCAACATTGAACAAAACTATATTCTTATCAAGTTATCAACCAATAACAACAATAAGCCCATAGAATATAAAAAAACCCAAATGTTTTCTCGTGATTCTACACCCGAGTGAAAAACACGGGATATATTTGAGGCAATAGGAAACAAACCCTTCTACAAAAACCCTTCAATTCCCTATTACGCCATATTTACTGTAAAGTTTCTGTATCAGTGTATGGTTTTAAATCAATGTGTAGTAGAGGTTATGCATGTGTCGTATAATTCTAATCTGCGAATTAAGTTCAGCTTAATTATTGAATTTGCGCAGTTATATTACTGTAGCTTAGAGTTTTACACAGTCATCCATTTTCAATTAGGTCTTCAATTTTCATAAAAGAAGAGCCAGCAACTATTTAATAATTAGATTACGAGCTCGAGATTTCTATAAGGTGATAGCCTGACACCTCATAGAAATCGAGAGCGAGCAATCTAATTGTTTTAGTCGAATCAGAGATCAAACATAAAATATTCCACAAAATAATTCAATAAAAAAAACGCGAGACGGAAGCCATTTTTTTAAAATGCGCCAGGAAAATGATTGTTTTGCTACTCGCTATAGCCAATCAAATTACAGCATTTGCAATAGTATACTAGTATGATTCTACTAATACTATATAGTAACTAACCATCTTCAAGTTCAAAATCAACTAAAGGATTTCCAACAATGGCAATTGTATCTTCTCCATAATATATCTTCTTTACTACACCATCATGCGGACTTGTTATTGTTAATGTCGCCTGAAAATATGGCACATAAACGTGATACAAGTTGAAGTATCCTGCACAATGAACAATCTAATTGTCATTGTAATAAAAAATAGAAGAGAGTAGACAAAACACAAACTGGAACAGCAACCTTGTCAGTTTCAGCTTCACAAAGGTCATCAAAATGCTCTACTCTATCACCGGGTTTAACAAACCTTTAAAATAATATATTGGAATTCAATGAAACTTTGGCAACTCTAAAATAATTTTACATTGATCCATTCAAGTATTTCATGTACATTAAAGTTACCATTTCTTTATAGTGACCTCTTTGATTCCCTCGCCAGGATCAGACAATAAAAACTGTGACAACTTCCATAAAACGACTACATATTAAATACAACACACACAAGTATAGTTTAGAAACATAACTATAACAATGCTGTTTTAGATAACTGAACCTTAAAAATTAGAATAAGAGAACAAAGTTTAATGATCGACTTTAATAAGAATCATGAGTAATAAAAGACGAACAGACCAAAGATCATGAAATAAAGAAGACTAAAAACTAAGGTAGATTATATTAATTAACAATGCTACTGTATAAGATCTGACCCTGATTCAGGATCCCCACTGAGATCTTAAAATTAACAAGATCTTTACTAAGATTTTAGCCCGCGTGCAGGCCCAAGGGAGCAGGCTGAAGGGAACTTGATATCAGTTCCCTTGGGCCTGCACGCGGGCTACTAAGATTTTAAAATGGGTCATTCCAGGATTTCCAGAAAACATCCATACATCCCCCACGGAGGAAATTGGAAGTTAACCACTCTACCCAGTACTATTATCAGAAACAAATTTTTTGTAAGTGCAAATCTTTTTCTAGAACGACCCAATCGACAGGATCTTGACTATATCGGATCTGGCTTTCATGATCCTGTTAATTTTAAGATCTTGGTCAGGATCTTGTTATGTTCAAAATCTTAGTCAAGATCTCATTAATTTCAAGATCATTTTCAGTAATTTCAGTATCCTGATCTTAGTCAAGATCTCATTAATTTCAACTGAAGATCTTTTTCAGTAATTTCAGTATCCTGATCTTAGTCAGGATCTTGTTAATTTCAAGATCTTGGTCAGGATCTATTTAATTTCAAGACCTTAGTTATGCAAGATCTTGTTAATTTCAAGATCTTAGTCAGGATCTTGTTAATTAATTTTAAGATCTTGGTCAGGATCTTGTCAAGTTCAAAATCGTAGTCAAGATCTCATTAATTTCAAGATCTTTTTCAGTAATTTCAGTATCCTGGTCTTAGTCAGGATCTTGTTAATTTCAAGATCTTTTTCAGTAATTTCAGTATCCTGATCTTACTCAGGATCTTGTTAATTTCAAGATCTTAGTCATGATCTTGTTAATTAATTTTAAGATCTTGGCCAGGATCTTGTTAATTTCAAGACCATAGTTATGTGTGATATGGTTAATTAATTTTAAGATCTTAGTCAGGATCTTGTTAATTTTAAGATCTTAGTCATGATCTTGTCAATTAATTTTAAGATCTTGGTCAAGATCTTGTTAATTTCAAGACCTTAGTTATGCATGATCTTGTTAATTAATTTTAAGATCTTAGTCAGGATCTTGTTAATTTCAAGATCTTAGTCAGGGTCTTGTTAATTTTAAGATCTTATTAATTCAAGATCTTATTAATTTTAAGATCTTAGTCATGATCTGGTTAACTTCAAGATCTTGGTCATGATCCTGTTAATTTTAAGATCTTGGTCAGGATCTTGTTAATTTTAAGATCTTAAGTCAAGATCTTATTCATTTTAAGATCTTAGTCAGGATCTTGTTAATTTTAAGATCTTACAGGTGTAGTCATGATCCTGTCAATTGGGTCATTACATGTCTAATTAATACAATTATATCAGAAACAAATTTTGCTCCCCTCCCCTTCTGGACAGCAGAAATCTGTGTGGGGACTGCTGGTTGTTTCTGGAAGAACTGAACCCATTTTAATATCTTAGTCAGGTCTGATCCACTGGTCTAGTAATTGGTCTGATCCTGTTAATTTTAAGATCTTAGTCAGGATCCTGTTTAAGAGATCCTAAAATTAACAGGATCTTGATGAGATTTTAAGATTAATAGGACCACAACTAACATATTAAAATTAAAAGGATTGTGACTAAGATCTAAAATTGACAGGATGTGTCCATATACTATTTCTGACAATACCTGAGTTATGAAACTGTCTCTCAGTGGACCAAAACAGATGATTCTGTTAGAAATATTTGAAAATCAATCAATTGGAAATTACAATCATTTATATAAATTTCCCATTTTAAAGTTAGAAAACAAGATAATAAATTAAAACCTTTGTAGGCAAACCACTTGATGTCGATTTAATATGTTGACATGTGCTGGAAATCTGTATGTAAGTAAAATAGAGATATTTTGTGTTATTCTGTTTCGAGGTTATTCGCCACTGGAAGGGATGGCTGTCATTAAACTTTGTTTCCATTTTGGTTGTAACTGCCTTAACCATGTCACGCTTGCCTATATGTGAAATAGTAGTACGTCTGTACGTACAAGTACAACATTGTGTACATCCAAAATAATAAACAATTATTGGATGACCTCGGCTGAGCATGCTATCAACCGAGGTCTGATAATGCTTGATGTCATGGGAAAGCCAAACCCAACAATTGTTTTATTATAGTGAGTTAGACATCAGCAACGTATAAAACGATTACCGTATTTACTAGATTGAGCACCGCCCCTGATTGAGCGCCGCCCCCGATTGAGCGCCACCGCCAAATGAGTGCCGCATTTGAGATCAATTTTTTTTAAAGAGCGCCGCCCCCGAATGAGCGCCGCACTAAACAGTGTAAAAACTTCCCGCCGCCAAAATGGGGACAATTAGAGACAAGGACATTTAAAACTTGTTTATTTTTTTGTTAAAAGTTCTTGTTATAAATATATTCACAAATAAAAGTTTTTTTTAAAGAGTGCCGCCCGCGAATGAGTGCCGCATCTGAAGCTCTGAAATTTTAAAGAGCGCCGCGGCGCTCAACCGAGTAAATATGGTAAACGAGTAAGTACGGTAAAGTTTATGAATGTTTCAGGTATATTTATTTTATTTTTGCGCGCTTTTGGGTTTGAGTTGTTGGCCGTGCAGGGGCTTGGGCCCGACAGTGTCCAATAATTGATTTTTTGGATGCAAGTTCGATAAAAAAAAACATTATTGGACGCTGAGCTGAGCACGTCAGCAGCTGAAATTATGTAATAAGTACCGAATATTGAGAATTATCCGGTGCTCTCTGACCAATCAGGAAACATTCAAAGATTTAATCAGTCAAACCAAATTAATATACAGGACTATAATACGCAGATTTATGTCGTACCTAAAATTTCGAAATATCCCTTACAAAACGATTGCCCAAATATTATAACTTTATACTGTGGCAAATGCCAAATGCCAATAATTTCTGATCTGTGTATGAAACATATAAGTGTGCATGCTGCATTATGTAGAAGGCTACCAGTGGAAATCAATGCTAGCAGGTTTATAACTATTAAATACCTTATTCTTGCTGAGGACCAGAGGATTTCTTCTCATTAACCATCTCAAGTATATACGTTGCCTCCCCCAACACGCCGCCATCTTAATTAATACACGTGTGGAAAATTTTTGTTTTCTAATGGCAATAACCGCTATTGCTCTCACCTTGAGGGATTTATCCTTAAATCCAGGAATTAAAAAGGATGATCGATAGCTGGTCATAATTTATCAGGGGGGGGAGGTGTAATTCAAAATTTTAAGAAATGATATTTTGTGACCCTGCTTTGCCATAACCCGGAAAAATAATGCCCCCCCCCTCTCTTGCTCGTGTCAGTATACCCCTCTCTCTCTTGCTCGTGTCGGTAAAAATGTACCTACCTACTACTAAACCCTGCATTCTATAAATATTCTAATTGCACTTTAAATTTTCTACTTTTCTAGTTGCGCTTTAAATCAAATACTAAAATTTATATTATACCAATCATAGTCATATATAAAACTTTAGTTTTTTCAAACTTTTCATTCTAAGTTTAAAGCCGGGTTACAGTCCGTAATGTAAACAAACGCTTTGTTTACATTTTGAACTGCTATATTTCTTAAAATATTATGAACTGTCAGAAAATTTAACACTATTTTGGTTCGCTATACTTTTAAATAAGTATGAGCTAGTGTTTATGTTCAGAAATATACAAAACATGCGAAATTTGCACAATTTTGAAATCCAGTAGTCTACCTTTGTTATGAGCAGAACCGATGCGCAGAACGGACTGTCTAACCCGGCTTTAAAGAATCAATTTTTTTAAATGCATCTCAAACAAAATGTGAGAAGGCATGTATAAAACAATTAATTGAACTAAAACAGCAGACTCCCTCCCCGCCTTCATAAACTGTCTAATATTTTATAAACACCCGGCCCCCCTTTTTCCTGGCTAAAAAAATATGTGACCCCCCACTGTTTCCACCTCCCCACCCCTCCTGCTAAATTATGACCAGTCCCTTAATAGTGACAACAGACATGGAATGGCCCTGATTACCTTTGTCACCTTTCAAATTAGAATACGAATTGCAACGAATAGTACAATTTTCGAGCTTTTACGCGTTACCAAGTGTGCGAGTCTTTATCAAGTCATTCAACTGATTCAAATAATCAAGTCTATTAGGCCACATAAAAAAAAATACTTGTTTAGCGTCCCCGCCCGACCTGATAAAAGTCACCGACCTCCAATTTTTTTTATTTTTTTTTTAAATCTGTCCGAGTTTAGTGGAAAAACTCTCTATAAAAAAGACCGTTTTACTTGAAAAAATGGTGATTTTATTCTTCTGGGAGCTATGTAATACGTTTACACAAAGTTTTCTTCCCAGAATATGCCTGTTCACAGCTAAAGTGTTCGCGCGTGTCCAGTGGCGGCGCCAGGCTTCCAAATTTGGGGGGGCATTTGAGGGGCAAACTCAAATTTTGGGGGGGCAAGATCAAATTTTTAAAAAGGTCGCCCCCCAGGAAATTCGTCCTCCCCCCCCTCAAAACGTGGCGATATTCCTAGGAATATCGCCCCCGGGGGCGAATATCCTAGGAATATCGTCTCCCAGGGGGGTGGGGCGAATACCCTAGGAATATCGCCCCCCATATATGCGATGTGGTTTATTCAAATAATTTCGTGATACTTTCATCTTATTATTGCCTTACACGTTTGAGAATTTAACTCTGCAAAACTAAAGCTGTTTTGTCTTTTTTTGAAACGTATTATTGGAGTATTGGCAAGTTTTACCATTGAGAGATTTACAAACTAATATTGAAACTGTAAAAAACAGTTTCATGTATACGCGCATTCACAAATGAGTAATGACAACTTATAAGCCATACATTTTCCGATAACGACAGAACACTTGTGTAGCCTTTAGTCGCTCTTAGTGACTAATAATTTTTTTTGAGGGGGGGCAAAATGGGGGGGCAAAAAATAATTTGGGGGGGGCATTTGCCCCCCCTTGCCCCCCCCTGGCGCCGCCACTGCGCGTGTCCGCTAAACGGTAATTTTCTGTTTTATTAAAAACATGAACGGGAAGTTAAAAAACATGAACGGATTTTGAAAGAATTGAAGTGAGTTTTGACTGTGGTAATATACTGGATTTTCTGCATTTAGCAGAATTTTGTGTTGCATTTTACGAAAAAAAAAAAAAAATCCGTCCGCCCGACCTAGAAAAATTAAAATGGGTGGACGCTAAACAAGTAATTTTTTTTATGTGGCCTTACAGTGATCATGCTAATTCCACAGCAGGAATTTTTGGGAAATTAAGGAGTTTCATGGATCATGCCAAGGAATTCTAGAATTTTGTTGCAGGCTCGCAGAATTTAGAAAACAAAACATGGAGGTGAAATACCGTAAATTGACTTGCTATCCCTATGGATATCCTTATACTGCAAAAATATAGCTGGAAATTTATTTAATGTTGGCTACTAAGATATATAGAATATCATGAAAGGTTGATTGCTACCAAATGATACCTTGAGAACTTGGAAACATCACTTCAAACATGAGTAATATATATATTCAAGAACCACCGACCAAAGGAAAGGTTGGAAGAATTAATAATTCAATTAAAGTACTGTATAAAACACCAGAGTGTAAACACTAAACTGGCTGGACACTGAATGACTGACGGCTAACATAAAACTTTATGCAATAGCTTTAACCTAGTTGCCCTAGAAGCAGTCAGTCAGATTACTAATTGCCTCATACGGTACCCAGGTGTGGAAGGTGCTTTATTTAATTGTTATATTGGTGCTGCAGGGCCAGGGTGCATTCCGTTCAATCCACCCCAGATATCACCTGTGTGGGGTGATGGTGTAACAGCAAATTTTGGTATTCTACAACTTGCGTGGCCTTGCAATTTCCGTATTTGACGTCGTTTTTGTATTGCTGATTACTAGCGGTGCACTGGATAGAACTTTTTGGTGCTGCAGGGCCAGGGTGCAGTCCGTTCAATACACGCCAGATATCGCCTGTGTGGGGTAATGGTGTAACAGCAAATGTTGGTATTCGACAATTTGCGTGGCCTTGCAATTTCCGTATTTGGCGTCATTTTTGTATTGTATTTGCTGATTACTATAGCGGTGCACTGGATAGAGCTTTTTGCTATTCAACCGGATATGCTGGATAGTTGAAAAATATTCGTCCAAATTATCCGGCTGGATACCGGATATTTTTAATATAAGATTTGCAGGCTTTCTTGTCATCCTACTTTTCCTACTTTTTCCTACTTTTCTTCAACTTTCCTACTTTTCCTATTTTTTATTAAAAATTGCTTAATTTTCCTACTTTTTCTCATAAAATCCTAATTTTTTAAGACAGCTTGGGGAATCAGTATGTTATAGCTCTCGTAATTAGATCTATAGGACTCGTAATTTTTCCCTATTTGTGTCCCAGATGATAAGATCTCAGGAAGAGAAGTACATTTTCCGAGTATAAAATTCCATAGCATTTCTAGAATCATAATCAATGAATTAATGTAGATTCTGAAAATGCTATTTCCGACAATCTAGAGATTCCAAATATTCACCCCCCCCCCTCCAGTTAATCAACCATCAATCATATGCTCCTGCCGCACAGTGCGGATTAAGGTGTATGGCGCAGCCAAATACATGCACTCGCGCGCAATTTGAATTGTGTTGCTGCAGAGCAGATGCCATAGCTTTTATACGGATGCAACATTCATTGTCAATATTAATATCTAATTTTGAAAGTTTTGAGAAAAAATCCTGCATAGATGAATGAGTAAAAAAAAATATTGAGCACCAAAAATTCACACAACTTCCCCAAAAGATAACTAATGGTCCACCCCTTACCACATATATCCTAGGGGGCCAATTTAGTATATGTTTGTGTTATTTGCATCTCCAAAAACATCTACTTTTGTCCTACTTTTCTACACATTTTTCTACTTTATTCCTACTTTTCCTAAAGTTCTAGTCCTACTTTTATCCTACTTTTCTACACAAGGATGCCAGAAAGTCTGGATTTGAGATTTTATTTAATTAAGGTAAAATAATGATTTTATTGGTTATAAAGTGAGGGTATTGATAATATTTTGACTTGAAATAATAGGAAAGCTAGAACTTCACAATCTGACACCCATAAACTTGCATAAGTTGCAAAAGTCTTTAGTTAACGACATATTTCACAGGTGAAATCCACTTTTTCGCATTTGCGAATGAGCATGAAAATACTGCCAGCTTCTCTCTGATCATTTCAAGTAAAAATATTATACTTCCATTGATTCCTTTTTACCAATCATCTTTTAATTACCTGAAATAAGCAATATATCTTGTATTAATTAATTATATAAGATATAAAGAATATCTTGTATCCAGCCGGATACTCCGGTATCAAGATTATCTCACTATCCAGTCCGGATATCTTGCCAGATATGATATCCAGTGCATACTGATTACATTCCACTAGCTATTCAAATCCTCACCAAAATGCATAATTATAGAACATTGCAGTTGGTGTCCAAAAAATATTTTCCCACCACATTTTTTCCAAGCCAGGTCGATCGGAAATTCAAGTTTGCCACAGAGTGGAAAATGTGAGAGAACATGGCAATATTCTTTAAAAATGAGATTATTTGTGGATAAAAAAATATGGATAGTCTTCTTTAAGTTTAAATGGTATGTTGTATGTCAAGAAACAATTTATATACCTTGCGTTTGCATAGTGCATGTGTTTGTTCACACTACAATTAACAATAATGGCTTGTGACATTATGCATGTGTTTGTAATTTTCATTTCAGTGAAAGCTGACAATTGCCATGTTTGCATGGCTTCTATAGGAGAAGTATGTTATGTGTAAATCTTGTGGTAAATTCATTCACATAATATGTGGCATCCCTGAAGGCAATGAGGGTTTTGGGCATGGAAAATTTCCCAAAATTTTGCAAAATTTCCCATTAACATGCAAAATTTCCCAAAAGGATGGTCACCGTGAGAAATAATGCCACAAAATATGAAAATATATTTGCTTTAATTAATTTCCGTCAGACCAAATAACGGGCAAGTATGCCATTTAAACGAAAAACAAGTGACAAGCTGGTTATAAATGGGAAAAACCCTAAATTGTCAAACATTTTGGCGAATTCATGTGGCCAAATATACATATTTTACAAAAACATGAAATTCACAGAACAGATAGTATGCAAAACATACATATTTGCAAAACGTATTTATTTAATAATATTTTTAAACGAAAATATTTCACACAGTTTATTGTTTTCAAATTGGAATTGTTTTTCAAGCAAGTGGTGAATTAACAGGTGTGAAAGTCCTTGTGAAACCGTGCCAACTCCGGTGGGACTGGAAACGATGGTGTGCCAGTCAAAATTATCAAAGCTCTGTTTCTTTGGAGAAGAAAAAGAAGATAGCTAAAGTAAATTCAATTGTTTCGAGTGCTTGGAATTAGGTCTTCATGGAAAAAGAGAAGAAAAGTGCACAAATTGACCTGTGGTGGTGGCAGTTGGAAAATGCACCTTAGTTCCACACACAACTCACAAAGTGCAAGAAATAAATACAAGCCACCTAACAGCACAATATCCCTTAATTAAACGGTTGATACAGTCGCCCCCAACATCACCCTCTGTTATTCTAACAAATTATCTCCGCTGTTGGGAACAGACGAACCAATAGGCAGCTTGTAGTTTATGCGTGCAGGGGACGATGGGAAGTAAGGTATCACATTGTTGATTATGCTGAAAAATTAGAAATGCTGGCCGTGTAAACACGGAGTGATAGCTTATACTTGTAAATATTGAAATATTTCGGTTGTTTCGGTAGTTTTTATTGAAATTTTTCAGCATATAGTCGGCAATATGATACCTTACTTCCCATCATCCCCTGCAGGCATAAACTAAAAGCTGGAATTGCCTATTAGCAACACCTGTACCTATTCCTCGTGCATGTTGGAAGACGATGCATGAAAGCTTAGAGTTACCATTGAAGACAAACCAAGCTCATCATCAGTCAGACGTAACCTCAAACGACTATTCTTCGTTGCTTACCACGCTACAATTTATATTTGGCGTTGAAGCCTCATGGCAGGCTTACTCTTCTGGCAATGGGACTCTTGTTTCAGGATTTTTTCTTACAAAAGATACGACTCACCAGTTGAACGTCATAATTCAGCCTGGTACCGAAAAAAGAATGTCTTAATCAACCACCTTTGCTAGTGATTGATAAAGGATAAAAAATGCGCGAGAAAGCAATGGAAGAATACAAACGTGAAACCAAGTTAATGAAAAGAAAACAACTGCAGCAACCTTTACTTTTCGCGCCGCACTCATTGACCCAAAGCTTGGTGCCACTGCTACAAGTTTCGAGAAATTAATCTCTTTTTTGGCGTGCTGTGGTGTCGATCATGTTCTCTGGTAAAATCGGACACGGTCGCAGCCGCTTCAATGACATAATATTCTGTAAAAGCTGTCAATGCTGGTTAAAAACGCCACTCGCGTGTATCATTCTGTCTCCACGCATACGAGCAACGGTTGGTGAAACTACGGCGTCTCGTACAACGAACTAAGCAATCCTTCATTGTTGTGGCTCGTAATGAATTAAGATCCAAAATATTCATGCAAGATGAAGTACCAACTTTGCCACTTGGATAAGTGAAAAACGTTCGGAAAATTTTGGTCTTGTTGAAGATAAAGATCAACTAGCATTACCAGTTACATGGGAGGCTGCTCATGCATTGAATCTGGGTGTCCTGGATGTTAAAAATTCTAAAACACAAAGTGAAATTTTCTTTAAGCGGTGTAATGTATTCAACAACATTCCTAGCAATAGAAAATTAATTTGCTTTTTTGCTTTGTTGGCTAAAACTACACAGCAATCTGCAGGTTCTGCGCATGAGGAGTGCTTAAAAATTATTCGTGAAGAAGAAAAAGAGTACCAGTATGTGATCTCTGGTTCCGATTTTTAGATGAAGCAAGCCTGGTTAATTGTTATTCCTGGTTAATTATTAATTGGAAGTCGATTTGCCTGGAACATGTGGGAATCAGATGACATCAAAGGTGATGGAGAATGTTAGATTTGATAACCTCCCTTGATTTGATAACCTCTCTTACTCACTCTTGGAAATATTTGATGCTACCAAGCTTGATAGTTTTGATTAAGGATATTAAGCTGTTGTTGCCTCAAGGAGAGTATGAGAGCTTTGGTCTGGGTCAATGCAGACGGGTCCTGGAAACGTCGTAAAAAATGTCTGGCATCAAGAAATCTGGCATGAATTATGCCCCGCCTAGAAATCTGGAATGAATTATGCCCACATGAATCTTATTATTGAAGAAACCATTGTGGCAGGAATTTGGAAAGTTTGTGCCCCGAATGGTTATGTCGAAAGAAAGTCCAAATGGACCTTTCCCCTTATAACTAAAATTTTGATCTAGACAAAAATTTCATCACAGCTTGAAAGAGCATCACAAAATTAGTAATATTCCAAAGTTTCGTTGCGAAATGTTGTAAAATGCGGATAATATAGCCTTGCGAAATTTGCCGTTTTTCAGTCATTTTGTATACGCATAGGAAATTGACAGCCCATTCGGGTGTTGGGGCATCAATTTCCCGTTTGTAATACAAAATGACTGAAAATTGCAAATTTCGCAGGGCTATATTATCCGCATTTTACAACATTTCGCAACGAAACTTCGGAATATTACTAATTTTGTGATGCTCTTTCAAGCTGTGATGAAATGTTTGTCTAGACTTGTTTAGATCAAAGTTTTAGTTATAAGGGGAAAGGTCCATTAGTTCGCTTTATGCCTGTTATATTTCTAATAAAACTGAAATGGGCATTCTTTCACATGAATTCGAGAATGGCCAAGAATATACCGTGCGTTTATATGAGCAGAATGCCTCCTTCTATTCAAACTCGGAGATCTACTCAGCGTCTTGCGCAGTGGTTGACATTGTATTGGCCAAAGGAGTCCCGGCAACCATCATAGAGATCGAGCTTCTACAACCCCATGAGAGCACAAAAGCAACGAGGTGGTCAATCAAATAAGACTCTCACAAGAAGGGCCATGCTCAACTGATGCCTATCATCGTTGAGACTTTGTGAATTGTCAGTGAAAGTGTGAGCACATACTTGAGCGGAGATGACGAAATTAGGCATTTGACTAACGAGTAAATGTTGTTAATCGCGTTGATTTTAGGCAGCTGTTCATTTTTAGCTAACGATGTAGATTTATGTAATTTGCGTTATAACTTTTGGGCTTGTTTGACTCTTGCCATTTATTGTTTGAAAGATTCTGTTACCAAAGAGACTTAAAATGTATATATTCTCACTTGGATTACAAATCCTAACATCCTAATATTAATTCCACCAAGTGAAGTGCAAGAATGTAAGTCATTCAAGTCCTTCTATATTTGTAGTCTTAGATCTTAAGGGAAAGACATTTTATTTGTTTAAAAGGTTAAAAATGATATATTATTCAGGCTGTGTTAATATAGTTAAGTTATGAATGGAGGTAGTTTTCATAACGTATCTATAGTATAAAATATGATATTTTTGCATGTTGTCTAATTGGACTGTTGGTGGGATAAATAATTAAAATTATTAACCTGGGACTAAAACCAACACTCTGTTAATACTTTTTTCCCTGGTTTCAAAGCTATAGAATTGTGCAATCCTAGCGTGAATTGCTCTCTCCTGTCCCACATGGGTCAAATGAATTTTATATAGTGATAATAGGTTCTTTAAAATGTTTTAGGTTTTGATAAGCACAAGTGTTGGGGACATTGATATTGAGTTATGGTCAAAAGAAGCACCAAAAGCTTGCCGTAATTTTGTACAACTATGTCTGGAACGTTATTATGACAACACAATATTTCATCGTATTGTCAAAGGTGAGACAACGGAGGACAATATAGTTACATGAATATATATAGTAACACTACCGAAATCTGAAAAGACTTTAGTTCCTATTGTGTGTTGGTCAAATATCTGGCAATAGCAGATGTTAGCCCAATAGGTCAGAATAGATCATGTTTGCTTACAGGAATTTGTATCATGTACTGTAACCATATTTTCTAAAACAAGGAACCCCCTAAAACGGAATAAATGTCCTGAAACTGACGCACAACAGGCTACATAGCAAAACCAATCAAAATTGTCTAAAAACGTTTTGAACTATTTACTTTAGTAACTACCAGAAACAACTTTTAAAAACCAAGCTTAGCTTCTGAGTAAAACCATCCGATTCAAAATTGAATAGTATACTATCCAAACTACCGTACCTAATGTGAACAGTGCTACTTAGACATAGCCTAAGGAGCCATTTACAACCACCTCTTACTTTCTCTTGTGTCTTTGTCAATTCCCCCTTCCAAGAGGGCAGGTACACCCTAACCTAACCCAGTGAGCCTAGCTGCCATGCCGGCTAAGTACAACCTTCCTTCCATGAAATACATAATCAGTAATCTGATCTAGCACTGTGCTGGAGCAATGTTTATTTCGTTGTTTATTTCAATGTTTATTTCAATGTTTATTTCTTTCGTGCCAGACTGACATTGTATTCATAAGTTATCCACTCTGATTTCTGGTACATCCATATAGTTCTGTACATACTGTATTCTAATGCATTTCGTGGTATAGATTCTGCAGGAAAGGTTATTCCACTCTGGTACTCGTAGAAATCGTGAACAGGATCTTAAAGGGATCTTAATAGGATCCTGTTAGGGTCTTGCAAGGCTTGTGAGATCATATAAGATCCTATAGGATCTTACAAGATCCTATCAAGATCTGAGTATAATAATATCTTACAAGATCCTGTAAAGATCTCAGTAAGTTCTTATAAGATCCAGTGATCTTAGTGAGATCCTGTTAGGATCTATGTAAGGTCTTGCAATATCCTATCAAGATCTTACAAGATCCTGGCTTTACAAGATCCTGTTAATATTTTACTAAGCCAGATCTTACTAAGATCTTACAAGTTTTACTCTTTACCCTTTGCAGGGCAGCAGGTTCGATTCTTGCCAGAGGGCCTATAGTTGCATTTTTCTCAACTGCTCCTGGTTAGGTCTAGTAAATGTATAAAAATTCCATTCGAAATTTCCGTTTACAAATCCCTTCTACAATTAGTTCTTCTGATGATGTAAGAAACTCGCAATTTTCCACAATTGCATCAATGAGTTCCATGGTTACTCCAGTGCTGGCATCGTGAGATGCCCCAAATCCTGATATTTAATTGGGGAACGCGTTCCGAAGTTTGCGCTGGAACACGTTTGGAAACTTTGGAACGCATATTTGTACGCGAAACAGGGGCGTAGGAACCGGGGGGGGGGCAGGCCCCCCAAGTTTTGGCAAGTGCCCTTTTTCCGGGAGCAAAGTGCCCTTTTTTTGCCTGAACATTTTTCATTAAAATTGCATTTTTGGCCGAAAGGGGCACTTTTGAAAACTTCAATCTATGTTATTTCCTGAAAAATGTTTTAATTTTCGGAAAAAATGTTATATATCTGGAAAAATTTTTGGTATTCGGGAAAAATTTTGTCGTATTTAGGAAAAAAATGTTGTATATCCGGAAATGTTTTTAGGATCTGTCCGGAAAATTTTTTTTGGACCCCTAAAATCGTACACTGACCGAAAATTTTTTGGCGGGGGGGGGGGAGGTCGCGAAAAAAAAAATTTAGATGCCCTTTTTTTTTTAAAAGTGCCCCTCAAAACCTGCCCCCCCCCAACTTTTCGAAGGTTCCTACGCCCCTAACGCGAAATCACGGTTACGTTACTCTTTAACCAGTACTGTTATTAAAGATAACCGTGATATTATGAAAAAACGGGAAGTAACAGTAACTCATTTATGAAGATCTTAATATCATTTTATTGTGTATTAAAGCTAAACGAGTGAGACGACCTACAGCTATATAGGACCTTTGACTAAACTCATAAAAACAATTGCATGATACAAATTCAGTGAAGTTCAATTTAATTTCTATTTTGCCACATTACTTTTTATTAGGGTTCTGCATTCAAGGTGGAGATCCAACTGGCACTGGCACAGGTAAAATATGATAATCACTGTACTATTACACCAGGGTTTTTCGGTATACCCCTACGATATATAAAAATACCGGCATTGAATCCAAAATTAGTCATACCTTTATTCCGAAATTTCCGATATGCCGGAATCATCGATTTTGTTTTAGTGCAATAAAGAAGTAGAAATTTCGTGTTACAAATATTGTCTGTCAACGCTCACTTTTCAAAATCGAAACCTTCAAGTTCAGAAATTTCTCATGCCGAACACATCCCTGTTCTGCGCTTCTTGTAACAAAAATCCAAATATGTTGAAATTGTTTATACTGTAATTCATTGAAGAACCAATTAATATATATACTTCTTTTTTCTAGGAGGTGAATCAATATATGGTCAACCCTTTAAAGTAATGAAGCACTAAAGATTTAGTATATTATTTTTGCACTGCGTTTTTTGACAAATTCTTATATTCCATCACTCCATCTTATCCTTTCTCTTGCTCTGTGTTTTTGCTTGTGCAGGTATACCTTCTTTGCCCTCTCAGCTAATTTTCTCTTATTACACTAAAAACAGTCTATTTTCTCTATAGAATGAAGTTCATCAAAGACTGAGATTTGTGAGACGAGGTTTGGTCGCAACAGCCAATACAGGAGAAAATGACAATGGAAGTCAATTTTTCTTCACCCTTGGACGAACAGACGAGTTACATGGCAAACACACGATTTTTGGAAAAGTGAGAATTTTACATTCATGTAAATCGATCCCTTGCGTTACTTCTACATGTCTAATCTCTTCCCTAATCCCCGTCGTATTCCATCATAGGATAGGATAATCTCTGTCTTCTTCTGTTTTCTACTCTTATAGGTACTCTCCGTACTTTTTTTGCTAGTTTTCTATTCATCCATTAGAATCAAATGTCAAAATCATATCATAACGTCGTATTCCTTATATCCTTTGTAGCATTCCTATCTCAATCCTCTCTTTCATCTGTGTCCACTGTTTAGCTGTACGTAATTTTCCTGCTCGTAGGTTACAGGCAACACGGTCTACAATATGTTGGAAATGGAGAGTATGGAAGTTGATCAAAATGATTTTCCTGTTTACCCGCCCAAAATATATAAAACTGAGGTACTGTAACTTCATTCTTCAACTTACCGCGTGCCTGTTTATATGAGCCCAGCTTACAGGAAAACTCGCCTGACTGCAGTTACAAGAATGTTTTCATTATATCGGGAAAACATTAGCACGTACCTGAAATCCTGAATTTCCTCTTCTACAGTAGTTGGACGTTTATTAACGTGACCAATTTACTTTTCTATAGGTTTTGTCTAATCCGTTCGAAGACATTGTTCCTCGGGAGAAGGAGAAGCCTGTTGATAAAGAAAGTTTAAATAAGAAAGAAAAAAAGAGCAAAGGAACAAAGTATATGTCATATTCTCACATTCAAGTATACATACATACATTATATGCGCCTCTCATTAAAATGACGCGCAGGGTTATGAACACTAGAGTGGGATGCATTGGGAAATTGACTTACTCGATCCACACTCTTTGTTGGAATCGATGTCCCTGGTTTGTCCATTGTTATGCTGTGTGCTTTGTGTACTTCTCCAGTTATTCTCATGTAAGTGATTTTAAGTCCATTCTGACGTTTTCCCCAGTCTACTGAGGTTTGAAATTAGTACCAGGTTATACTGTGGGCTAACTGAAAGTCCCATCCAAAGAATCCGTTTACTCTCATCCAAATATAACTTTACAGAAAGCAGATATAAGGTTACAACAGCCTGGTATATTTTATGCAGTATTTACTGATACATCGACGGAGCAAAACTAATCCCCTTTTTCGATTTTTTAGAAATTTTAGTTTGTTGTCATTTGGTGAAGAAGCTGAGGATGACGAGGAAGAAGTTCAAACCTTGAGCAAGGTGAATGAACTCGGGTAGTTGGGTAAATTATATGATATCGTGGCACATTAGTGGTCAGATCATAATATATACTGATAATGAAGAATCTAGACTGAGTTCCTAAAGGTAATGTGGAGCATTGGTCCACAGAATAGATACTAGACCAGAAGGGACACTCAGAAGATATTTCGTCCGAAATTTTACGAGTGCTGACGTGAAAATACGCCATCATTTGACGCCATCCTTGATTGCACACGGAAGTTTTTCATAGGTAAAACATAGGTACAAAGTGCCGTGTGCACTGCAGGATGGCGTCATAGCACGTAAAAAATTTCGGACGTTTTTCCCAAGCCAAAACACATAGGAGTGTCCCTTCTGGTCTAGTATCTATTCTGTGATTGGACTAGCAAACAGAAGCTCGCTGGTTCGATTTTTCATGGGTGTAGCGTCATGTAATATAATTTACCCGAGTTCTATTCCCACAATAATCAGACATAAGATCATAAAATATATTATCAAACGAACTACAACAGACTGAGTTCCATAAGGCGATGTGGAGCCACTCAGAGAAGCGTGATCAAATATAACCCTGTACTGCAGTTAGTTGTCAAGAACGTGCAATAAGCGTTTTTTTCTATGTTGGTTAATTGTGGTATATTTTCCCACATTATTCTTCATTCATGGTATTGCATTTTAGGATATGAAAATCAAGAGCAGTCATGATGCATTGGACGATCCAAAGCTTAGTTCTGTATCTGCTTTAGAAACAAGACCAACCGAAGATGTAAGCCATTTCAAATGTTTCATTTTGTGTCCATCATATGAGGGGAGTATGTTTGTGTTTCTCAAACTTGGTTATCACTTGCCACGTGAGCATAGGTTTATAAAACTAAGGAGAGAAACAAACAACGAATTGCCGTGAGGATGCGGAAGATTTTCGTAATAAGTACAAAGATCTATTAAGTAAAAACGGGATCGAACAAACGAAAATTTGTTGTGGTTTATCTGAAAGCCTCAAACGGCATATTTAGTAACCTGTCTGCCTCGTACCTAGGCCTTTTGGGATCGAATCACTTACTGAAAGGATTATTTCGGAAAATCACAACTGGGAATCGGCGCTCGATTGAGAGCCTTGGATATACCATAAGTAAGCACTCAACGCAGGATATCAAATCCACATACACGATAATACATTCTTATTCCTAGCATATCAGCATGTGGATTGGATATCCTATGTTGATATTTCTGCATGTTCCAATACCTCAGTGGTGAAGCTAATACGTTGAACCATGGATAATAAAATAAATGGATAGGAAACTAGCTGACGTGACGGCAGACCTAATGTTTTCAATGGGATGATGGCGTGGTTGGATGTTGAAACCTAGTTGCAAACCAAATTCTCAAAAACGGCATGTTTAGCAATAATACAGCTAAACATTTTAGTCAAAGAGCAAATAAATATAACTACGCCATTCTACGATGAAATCTCTAAGTATTTCCAGTCAATTTTAGCAAATATTTCAAGCACTAAACAGTGCAAAATGCATCGCAAATTTCGTTAAAATTGGTGACGCCAATTTCGTAGCTACAAATGTAAAAAAAAATACAAAACAAAGACGAAAAACATTTACCTTGAATACTTTGTCGTGGCTTAGGCATGTTTTTAAAACAATTAGACCAGTTTATGCTTCAATATTACTATTTTAAAGCGGAGGTATAGCGAAACAACAAAAATGCCGAGAACTTTGGCAATACGCGTGACGTCACAGATTGCAACCAGGTTGTTTTTGCTTACGTCAGCTAGTGTCCTATCCATTTATTTTACAATCCATGGTTAAACCAGGCGACCCGGGGTTCGATTCCTAGTTGGGAAGTTCGGAAATTATTTTTCAGTCACTCTTCCTGTTACTATTCCTACACAGGTATCGTTTGTTTTCTCGCATATGCTGGCGTGGCTACCGAAGTAATTTAGTGAAAGAGCTACATGTACTTGGTACTAACACAATTCTTTCTCTTAAGAATGAGAGAATAGTGGATGAGGAGGTGGCAGACAATGTACGAAACAAGTTGAAAAAGTCGAGAGTTGAAGAAAAGAATGATGATCATGACGAGGAAGATGACGACAAAGATGAGAGGTCGGAGAGAAGGTACGTCATGATCAGAATTGCTATAGTAACAGTGTAGACAAGTACACCCGAAATGTTTATGGGATATACAAGCATTGTACCTGTAGTCTGTTGGTCAGGTGTGGGCGCACAGGTGATGACAGTATGGTTGAAGTAGAAAAAGTAAAATTAACTTTCCCAAAACCCCTTCCGTATGTCCATCAAATTATTCTATCAATAATCAAACTATAATATCGGTCATGTCTGGCTACTCTGGTTTTTCGTGAAAGTATAATTTACTCAAGGATTTCATTTCACTTACTGGAAAGACTATGAACAAACCAGGCAAATGAAGAAATTTCATGAAACGTTTCCAAATATTTAGCAAAGAATTACGCCGAGAATCGAAACGACTCACACGAGAATTGCGAGAAAGTAAAAAGATGAAACGTGATGAAGAAGTTGATACTAAAGATGAAGAAGATGAGAAAGAAGATGAGAAAGAAGGTTCGCATTTATAGTCCTTAGCTATCAGCACACAAAAACTATGTATTCTTTATTGTTGATTATATCAATTGGCTATTGTTAAACAAGCCAACAAATAGAAATCAACTTAAGCACTTCACTGGAACGGCTAAAGTGAACTCAAGAAATGAATTAACCAAAATTGTACCCAATAAGACGTAGTGACGTAATGTACAAACGAGTAATCCCTATACTAGAAACTACTGTGGTGGCCGGGCATTTTGCCGAAAGACATTTTGCCGAAAGACATTTTGCCGAACGGACATTTTGCCGACGGACGTTTTGCCGAACGGACGTTTCGCCGAACGGACATTTTGCCGAACGGACAGTTTGTCGAACGGACAACTCTTCTGAACTTTAAAGATATCTTCTGAACTTTAAAGGTTCGCTTACACGGTCAAAGTTTCTGTGATTATTTAGTCATATTGTCGATTTTGATGACAGAAACTTTGATAGTGAAGTATAGTTTCGTTTTATATTCTTTCAAGTTTTTGACAAGTTTACCGAAATTTCGCGATATATAAAAGAATAACATCATTCAACATCATTCATGAATGCGATTTCCCCGAGAACTGTGAATGTATTCCATGATTCGTTGTCTTTTTATACGCTTGTTTGTTTACGACCTGACGTCGAAACACGTTCCTAACAAATGAGTCATCCGCTGCACAAACAAGCTACCAATAGTCAATATGGTTATGCACTATTAACGACCATTATGTATAGGTTAATGACCCATTACATGTATGCACTGCTAATGACCATATAATGGTTATTTTACACAATGGTTGAGAATTACACAGTTGAGAAATGAGTCACAGTTCCAAACATTTTGACGAAATAACATCTCTATTTTCGGCAAGTTGTCCTTTCGGCAAACTGTCCGTTCGGCAAAATATAGGTTCGGCAAAATGTCCGTTCGGCAAAACGTCGGTTGGGCAAAACGTCGTCGGCAAAACGTCCGTTCGGCAAAACGTCCGTTCGGCAAAACGTCCGTCGGCAAAATGTCCGTTCGGCAAAACGTCCGTCGGCAAAACGTCCGTTCGGCAAAACGTCCGTCGGCAAAATGTCCGTTCGGCAAAACCTCTTTCGGCGAAATGTCTTTCGGCAAAGTGTCTTTCGGCAAAATGTCCGGGTACCGCTACTGTAGTCCGTGTTTCAACTACATGAAAATTATTAAAACACTTCAACAATTTGTGTGTGAAGGCCCTTTGTCAGGAAGTTATTTAAGATTAACGATGCAAGGTTGCTTAGATTATGGAAACGTTTTCAAGAAACCTTGCTACACTGAGCTTCCTGTCCCCTCCCCCCCCCCCCCCCCCCCCCCGCCCTTACTACACTGAGCCTACATACTGAATAATACCTTCGTCTGTTCACATTCCAGACGAAGTCGGGGCATTGAAAGAGTTCCGCCAAGAGAGAAACGAATATTTACATAAAAAGAATGAAACGATTAAGAAAAAGGGATCTGGACGAGAACAACAGGTGACTGAATTTCTGGAATCTGTGTGTTTCATACAATAGATAAAAGGGTTGTAAAGTCGTTCCACAAAAGTCACTTTTTTAAAAATTTCTGCCCTCAGGATATATGCAAAACAAAACACTTCATACTTTTGAGAGAGTTCAAACGATGTCAGCCATGTTTCTTACATAGAATAATTTTCATCAACGTTGTTGTTATTCTTTGCAGACATTACAGCTGTTGTCAAGTTTCCAGTCTAAATTGGAAGAACCCGGGGAAGCGACTTCACTCAATTTATTGAATTATGATAGTGAGGGGGAAGAGGAAGGCGATGATAATGATAGTAGCTCATGGTAAGTTTGACTTCACTTGGCTTGGCTTGGTGAATGACAGTGAAGTCCATATAGTAGCTCATGGTCAAACCATGTGGCTGAGTGATGTTCAGGGCCGCCGAGAGGCGGGGATTGCCCCGGTTGAAATTTTCTGTTGGGCCCCAGTTATTTTTTTGGGTGAAATATTTCCGCGCAAAGGGCAAGATGTTTGGTTTTTTTTGGGCAAAGTACCGAAATTGGGTATGAAAAATTGAGTTAAAGTCACTGGAAAGCAATTACAACGTACTCGTCCGGAAACGTTTTTTCCCTAAAAACTTGTCGACGGGGGAGGGGGGGAGGGGAGTCGAAAACATTTTTTTCAGGTAAAAAATTGAAATACGGGCCCCTAAAAAAAATTTGCCCCGGGCCCCCGCCAAGCACTCGGCGGCCCTGGTGATGTTAGTGGAGGGCAGACTTCATTTGACCTGGTTAGTAGTTCATGATATTAGTTCATGATGGTAGTTCATGATGGTCGTTCATGTAGTATCGTGATAATAGTTCAGGATAATAGTTCATGGTAAGTTGAAGGAGGAGGACACACCATGTCACTCCGGTGTTTTGAGAGGACTTCATTCAATTTGCTGAGTGATACCAGGGCGTTTATAAGATATCTTATAAACGCCCTGGTGATATGGGGGAATGAGGATGAAGGTGAAGGGGACATGATGGGAGAAGGTCAGGTGGAGTAAGGAAAGATTACTTTATAATATAGTGTTGGATGACATAGATCACTGAATAATATACCATGCAACTGAGCAATGTGGGTGGGGTTGCGCTGCATGAGAATGTAACACCATGCCTATGTGCAATGGGGTGGGAATGTGCACTGCGTGATGTAGGATGGGGAAGGATACCTTAGTCAGCCTATCTAACGAATGAGAATGATGGTTGTCGATGATCGATCGCGTATGCTGTTGACGTTTGACCTCGGTTTTGGTTCTGGTATTTCATGGTGAGTTTGGAGGGGGTGGTAATACCATGTGACTGAGTGATATGGAGGTTGCACAGCATGAGGAACTGGGCGATAGTAGTTCATAGTGAGTTGAGACTGTGAAGTGCGGGGATGGTGTAAAGTGATGTGGACGAAGGCTGCTTGAAGATGAGGTGGGTGGTGGTAACTCGTGGTGAGTGGGAGATGAATGGGAGATAGGTAAAGATAGATCGCGTTGTTGGGTCAACCACGATACGACTTTAATAAGAATAAGAAAGTGTTTTTTGCTTTTCTCTTTGATCTACAAATAATTCAACATTATGTTGCAACTACAAACATGGTATTATCGTATGTCACAGGTTACATCATAAACTGGTGTTTGAAGAGCATGATCGTAAAGTAAAAGATGCCAATATTCCTGATGAAGATACGTATGAAATATTTGATCCTCGAAATCCCATCAATAAAAGACGACGGGAGGAAAGTAAGAGAACACAGAAGGAAAAGAAAAAAAAGTGATGCAAGAAAAGATCAGCTCGTAGGAAATGTCATATAACATCTTGGTACATAACGTCGCATTATTATGGAAAACTGTGCATGTGTTTGCTTGCTCAAATTTTCCCTGGCAAACTCACGAGATAAGATTTAGACAACAGACGTTTGGACATCTCACAGTTTGAGGCAAACTGGGAAAATATGTCATCCTTGCATGCATCTATGACTATGTGGTGGCCGTCACTCGACCGAGCATGACCCTCTTGTAGAAGTTTTAATTATCAATATATCAAGACGTTTCCATCATTAAATCGAAAGTTGACTTTCAGACCGAATTTCAGACCTCAGTCTCAGAGAGGGCGGCGGATCTCCGTTGTAGATCATGGACGTCGAGAAATTCGTTTCATTGTTTTTACCTTAAGAAATATATTCTGTATCAAGAACTCCGTCATGTTGGTATCTGCATGCTTATGACCTATAAATGTTCATATATATGAGAAATTAAGGCTTTTTCGGCCAACATGTATTGCTTTTCACTCTTTTTTAATTATAAAGCCGCCGAAATTGGGCATCTGGAATGAGATTCTTAATTTCCTGTAATATAATGTTTATCCGTATGTCATCAAATTAAAATTAATAAGCTTTTAGAGCTTTTAAATAGTGTCGCTCCTGAGTTAGCTAGCTAATAGCTTGCTTCAAAATGTTAGCAAAATAATGATAAACTAAGTATACTGCTATTCTAGAAACACTCCATTTGGTATTGGTTTGTTGTCTACGCATTAAACGCGTCTAAAAAACGCGAACTGAGAAGGCCGACCATTATAAAAGTGATGGGGGGAGAGGGTGTAATTTTCAACTTGCGTGAGTTTTTTGTCCCCTTCCTCTCCCCTCCCCTCGCCATCACTTTTCTATTGGGCCTTCCCTTATCTGTATGAAATAGCACAGATGTTAAACAGATTGAGTTTTAAGTTATTTTAATTGCTTGCTTCTATGTTATTTCAACACCAACTGATAAAGTTGTTAATGTGTAGGCCTAAGAGAGAAAGCAATTTCATAATTATCAGAGTGTGCATCTCACTTCGTACATCAAGCGGATCATGCCGGATTATACCGATTATACATCCTGTCTAGTCAGTTGTTACTTAAATTACTTCCCGTCATGCACCACATACTAATATATACACATACAGCATAGGACAATGCCACAGTATAGCATAAGTTGATCTACAGATTTATTTCAAATATTGCAACTAATAGTACGTCACATTCCCAGGTTGCGTGAGAGCATACGCAACAATAATTTGAACTGGACAAATTGATCCAATTTAAGTTAACGGTTACGTCTTGTCAGTCTCGATCTCATTAGTGCCATGGTCTCATTCATACGCGTAAACATACTAGGGAAGAATCTATTCACAAGCTTATATATATATTCATTCGCGTTTGATCTATCATCTATGGAAAACAAATAAATGTTCCTGGGAGGCTTGAAGAGGAATTGCCAATTCTTTGTTTGCGATGACGTAATTTTGGGATTTCGTTTTAACGGGCAGGTATAACAAAAACGGCTATTTTAATGTATTGATCGAGTTTAGAGACAGTTCAGGTCTCAAAAGTTTTTCTTGCTACAACCATTCTGATAGGAGAAAATCGTCCACATGTTGTTTGATTGCCCGTCATTTGGATGAAAAGTTACGTAATTGCAAACAAAGAACGTGCATTAAAATGTACAATAAATTGTGAAAAAAGAAAAGCATTTGTACAAAAGTTCTACTGCAGGTGGCTAATCAAAAACAACAATTATGTTGACAACCAAAGGTGACAACATGTTTCGATATTAGCGCGGTATTAACAGTAAATTCACATATCCGGTATTTTATCTGTCCATCAATCATAAAGCTAGTGTTAACATGCGTCTTGACGAACATTATTTAACGATGGCCTACCTAGTTCTTCTAAAACATTATTCAACAATGTAATGTATCTAACAGCCAGTCTTAAGATTTGGCATTTGGAAAGTTTTTTATCTGCCGGATAGGTGGGTAAGACGTCACGTAGTTTTCCAAAAGCGATGTTTACATTGTCTTGACGAGTTCGTTCTCGTTTTTTCGGTTTCGTTCTGTGTTTGCTCTTCTTTGTGCGTTTCTGTTGTTGTATGGTTGCGCTTTTTGATGTCTTTGTTTTTCCCTGATTCATTGAGGTTGTTGAACAATAGCGGTCACAAGCTGTTCTTGTACAGCAAACATTTCTTGTAGGTAAAATTCGTAAGTTATGAGGAGGCCAATCTGTCACGACTTTAACACCACTTGCATTTGTCACGCTCATCCGGACTGTATCTTTCCAGTTTTTTCAGTATAATATACGTTGCTTGTGTATTTATAAAACAGTCTTGAACTCTCAGTCCACATAAAAATTTCTTCAAACTCTCCCCACTTGAGTGAAGCAATGCTAATGTTATATGTTGTTAAAGCAATAATATTATGCCAGTCATACAAGTGGTATAAGTCTTAAATAAGAGCAATCTTCTGATAGAGATCTAATGGATTATTTGCATCGACGCCGCTTATCAAAATCATCTCTCAAGCTCATCATCAGATCATCATTGTTCTTGTTTCGTTTGGCTTAAAGTTTGGCAATTAAATAATGGGTGGTCTAGAATATTAACAACCATGCACATGTACTGATGTACCTTAAACTTTACATGTAGATTTATAAATACAACACTTTCAGTGGAGAGAGAAGGGAATTACTATATGTACAGTATTAACCACATATTAGATGTTTTGAATAAAGAAAAATGTTCTCTGTTCTAAAACGTAGCCTTCAGCGATTAGCCTCGTGCCATGATATGCATTTATACAATATCTATGCAGTAGATAACATTTTATTCTGTTTTGGGTGCAGTGGACTGCATGCGATTTTCTTTTCTGCCAGTTTTATTTGGACGTATAACAGGAAGACAACTCTCATCTACTAAGTCGGGGGTATTCCTAAATACTCGAATTGTACGAGTTTAATTGTACATGTTGTTGTACATGAAATCATTTCTAAAAGTTGACGTATGTTATGCTAATCAAGTTGTCTCACGACTAAATAACTTTATAGCAATGTTACAAATTGTTATACGTGCAGGTTAATCGTTGATTTTTGCGAGGTCTAGATCATACTCAAAACGTACCTATTTTTGTAAGTTTCCCATTTTATTTAACTGGCTTTGACAAAGATTTACATAATCACAAACTGAACTCCTTTTCCTGCTCGTATTTATTGCCAATCGAATTTTTTTTTACTGACGTATGACTAGATTTTGAACAAAGCTCTTTGTCGAATAAAACTTGTCATTCTTAAAACGCACGAGAAAAGACCTGATCTTATTAAGGATCAGGTTAAACCAGCTGTAATAATTATTGTAGAGATAAAAGCCAAGAGGCATTTTAAGCCAAGAGGCATTTCAAGAACTCTTAGACTTAGTCTTGTGCGTAATAGCCAAATTATAGTATCCTGTACGGTAAAACCTTCACGTTAAGCCCCGTGGTATTAAGGAGCACGTTTTCTTTTTACGGCAAAATGGAGTAATAAACTGTTATTTGGTAAGGAGAAAATAAGTATTTAAAAGAGATTTCTAGCCTGTATTTCAACACACAACAGTGGAGTGCACTGGAACACAGGCTAGGGTAATCGTGTGTTCAAACAAAATGTGCTTGCCGTCACAGGCAGGACATGTAAAAAAAACATCAAAAGCGGGAGAAATCGAGCTAGAGTCCATGACGTATGCTAGCATAAACCTCTTAATTAAAGTGCGCTTTGTGTCCACACAGTTTTATATTTCAGTTAAACAAACAAACAATTCACATTTGATATTGCAATTTCCACATGATGTTTTAAACAGATGCTGCATTTGTTAAAACATCACCGCCAATTTTCATACTCATTCTTCAACACCAGTGCATCTCCAGTAATTTAATTACAACCAGATATTTTAAACGATATTCCATCGTTCCTTTCGAAATATTAACAATGCATTATGATTTTATAGCCCACGGGCGTTGACGTTAGATGGTCATTTTTTATACAGTAGGTCAGGCCTAATAACCAAGTCTAGGGATTAATCAAGTCTTCTTGACATACCAAGAAAATGTTCTCTCATTACAACGGGTAAATAGGAGTTGTAGACGAAAATCTCGAGCGCAAGATTATATAATTTTAAACCTAACAGGGGCAGCTGCGAAATTGCAACTTTTGGCCCTTGCAACTATAGGCCCTAGCAACTATATAGGCGGCATAGGCCCTTGCGACTATAAGCCGCAATTGAACTGTCCTGACCTACGCGGAAACGCTTTCCTTAAATTCTCAACTAAATTTTCAGATTAGCGTTTCCGTTTGCGTGTCCACCCATGAGACCAAGAGACCATGTAAACTTCACTAAAGAATTTTCTATGGGAGGCGAGGGGGGTGTCTACCTTTTACGCGTTAGATAAAACACCACTCTCTTTATGGAACACAGGAACAGTACACCACAAGCCTAAATAAAATGTTCATTTAGTTTATTTTTTGTGACTATACACGCATTGCTCTATCAGGTTCCAGAATTTCTTTTAATTAATCACCACAGGTACACCCTCTTATCGAATTAAAACACCACCCAGTAAATAGGCTTCCTCTCGTGTTGTTATAAATCCATACCGCCCTATTATTTTTAAGCAGATTAAGGACTAATTAGGCGTGCTATTTTTTCAACAAGAAACATGCATGGAGAAAATGTCTAATGGTAGCTTGCAAACAGCAGTAACGAGTACCGTAGCTTGTATAAGAATTATTCCGGTTATATTGGCTTTTGGTCCAGGTTCCCTGGCGCATTGTCATATATTGTTTTCTTTAGACAATTTGCAATAGATTCAAGTCGATCCTATACGTTAAGCTACATTAAAATCATGTCTATTGCAGTGGCGAGGCTATACCCTAGATATATTACACATACACTAGATAGTGCATCTAATTATTCTACAATTCAAAAATTGAAGCCGTGATTGCAGACTCAGGATATTCCCATGAAATGAGAAGATTCGTATGTTTTCTATTTCTTAAACACGGAACTTAAATATTAAAGGTAAATAAACTTATTCCAAATACATTTTTAAACTATTCAAATGATGAAAGTTATTGTTGTTTTTTAAGCGTTTATTAGCGAGTGGGAAACACCAACATGACCGCCATCTATTCAAATGGGGGTAACCGCTGGAATATTCTTGGCTTCAATTTTACTAAACGAGATGCGCTATCTAGTCTATATAAGATATCTATGGGCTATACCCTTGCCAACTGGTCATGCTATGCTAATAAACCAGTATCTGAGTAGGTTAAAGACTACATATTTCTAAATGTTTGAAAAATGCAAATCATTAAAAAATTTGCATAGCATGACCTGTTGTTGCTATGGCTAGCTTCATCACCACTGGTTTATTGTAAGATTATATATGTTCAGTTTACGTTGATTTTAATCCAAAATCATCTCCATGTCGCCTCTGTATTGTTCTCAATAGTTCCTGACTTTGCAATTGAATTAACAAAGAAATGCCGTAGCCGTAGGTTATGATGGGTCATAGTGCTTATATGAGATTATACAGTTTACAATATCGTTTAGTCCAAAATCCTCTCTGCGACGTCCCGTATTGTTCTAGCTGATTCCAAAATTTCTCCTTTAGTTAACTTGGAATTCACAGTAATACGGATACTGAAATAGCAAGTATTAGTAATTAGATATACTGTAAGTACTGTATCACCGCTGATTTTAACTGAAATATATAACATAGAGCATTATGTAAAACGTTGCAGTATAATTAAGAAGGCATACCTTGGTGCAGGTAGAAAAGCTTCATCCCCTTTCAAGTACCTTGCCACAGCAATCGCAATATCTTTCCCCAAAACCTTAAACGATGAAAATAAATTGTTTCGCTAAAATTTAAAAATTTATAAGATTAAAATTTGAATGTTAAAACTTACTGCAGTGACAATCTGTTCAAATATTTCTTCATCTTCATCAATAGATCCTCGAGATGTTTCAAGACGTAAATGAATGATTGGAGATATTTCATTACCAATTACTTTCAATCCCCTGATTCTATGAAACGATTATCAATTGATGTACAGTAATCAGTTAACACATATATATATCCCATATCTATGATACAGTATATCCTCGTTGAGGTCACAAAAACTTATAGTTTATTAAAATACCTTTTGCTTTATAATCACATCACTTGCTACCCTCTGTCAAAGTCCGTTTCACTTGCAATTTTTGCTGCGATTTCAAGTGCGATTTTCTTCTGAAGCACGTGAATGAGTAGTGACGTTCTGGGCAATATATACCCTCATCTGAGCATTCATAACTCAGCCACTCGTTCACATACATCAGAAGAAGAAAATCGCAACTAAAATCGCAGCAAAAATTGCAAGTGTAAACGGGCCTTCGTGCATATTATAAACTTTTACAGTGGGGGGGGGGGGCAAGATTAGGGCCCGGTGCGTTTTACAGTGGGGGGGGGGGCAAGATAAGGGCCCGGTGCGGTTCCCCAGAGTAAGATTTTGGTTACTCATGGTATGGTTAGGGCCCAGTATGAGCTAGTAACTAGTTGGGCCTGCAGGGCTAAATGGCCTCCAGTATATATGATAAAATATGCCTTGCGGGGCTTTATGAAAATGCAAGCATAGGATATAACAAAGGTAACCATGCTGGCATTCATATTATGTATCATAACTTACCCTTTTAACTCCTTGTGAAAGAGCAAGGCGTTGTCACGAAGTGCTTCAAACATCTCTAAAGACATTAATCTTATATCAACATACATTACAATACACTACATCAAAAAGGAGAGCAATCTAATATAGGATTCCGATGTTTTGACAGCAGAAGTACCTTTCAGGATCGACTGCCCAACGCCAGAAGATTTTACTCTAACACTACACGATTTTTACCCCCCTCTCAATCGAGAGATTTTACTTGTCAGAGAGAAGGGGCGGGAAAGCTGGAAACAATGTTAATTTAACATTTTCATGTGAAATGCGCGCGAATTTTCCGAATGTTTCAAGTGACCTAGACATGTTGAAGGCCTTATTTCTCTGATCCACTAGTGATTGTGCGAATGATATGACGACGTAGCGAGGGAGGGCGAGAACTATAGTGGATCAGAGAAATTTGGAGCATGTCTATGACGAACCTGGATGTTTATCCATGACATTCAGGGCTTCAGTGCCAGCAGATGCAAGAAGAGGAGGCAGTGAGGCAGAGAAGCAGTATCCTGCACCAGACAGACGCTACAAAATAAACATATATCAAGAATATAGAAAAACGTCCATAAATGGCTTTAAATATCGGAAGAAAATTGTTCTGCCTAGGCGAGTGTTATATAATTTAAAATTGGAGTTTGAGTACTATTTAAAACACGCGTAGGAGTGTTTTATTATATTTAAAATGCGAGTGCCCAGCACGAGTATTTCAGGTATGATAAAACAGGACTACAAGTGTTTTGAATAGTTTCAAAACACGACTACTGCATGTACAGTACAATAGATGCCGTCTCATTAGTGTTCTTTATATAAAGAATACTAATTAGGATGCATGAACTTTTATATAAAGAATACTATGAAAATGAGTTTATCAGGTATAAATTAAGCCTCTTCACGTGACATATTATGGTTGGCATGATTTGCCAATAAGCTTATGAATTATTAATGAGTGTTTGAAATGCAATTTGAAGCATGTTGGCCGTATGCTGTGACCTCGAAAAGTGCCTAGAAAGCGATTTTCATTTCATCCATCTTGGAACTGAAATATTTTTGCGGGAACTAACACTTTCGAACACGCTGAGTTTAAATCCGAAAAGTTCCCGCTCTATAGACCTGCAGTTTTCTCACAAACTGCAATTTTATCTTCACTAATTTCACGACAACTTTTTTCATTGTTCAACGACACGATGACGACAAACGATTATGTCACTCAAAAAGACCAATTTCTATTAACCAGTCTTCCTTTTAACAAAAGACCAGTTTTGCTCGAATCATTTTGAGTTATGTTATATTATGCGTGTTGGACGTAAACAACATATCTTATCTATAACTTTGGGAAAGTACAGATAAAACTTTCTGAAATCCTCAGTTCTGGCTCTATCTCAATAAAATTACAAGGACGTTAATGCTAAGTCTTTTGGCTATGTCTCTGGGCTGAGAAATAATTCCTTACATGCGATCAAAATGTTTTATACAACGATGTAAAACGGTAATGTTGTGTAATGGGTCAGCATTTAAATTTCCAACACAGTTTTTGAGACGTAATTCAAGAGGTAACTTATCATTGCATTTGAACTATTATATCAGTTGGTGTTATTCTGTGCGATTAGCAAGTATTATTGGAAAGAGGGCTTTCATATACGTTGTAATCACCAAATAAACAGCTCATGCACACATTTCTCCACTTCGTCGTAGGTTTACAGAGCAGATTTTATACTTTGGCACTGATATTTGTCTTTGATGTGAACATTTATCCTGTCGTAAGTCTTCTACCAGCAACCAATCCACAATATTTCATTTCAGTGTTGTCTTTGCCGTTCCGTTGGCTTCGCGTTACTTTTGTTTTAAATATCTTGATCGCGTTAAAAGAGTTATTTCTCAGTCCAGAGACATAGCCAAAAGAATTAGCATTAACGTCCTTGTGATATTATTGAGATAGAGCCAGAACTGAGGATTTCAGAAAGCTTTATCTGTACCTTCCCAAAGTTGTACCGGGTGTCCCAAAAAAAAGTACTCCGGTTTGATTCGTGATAACTTCTAAACAAGTAAAGCTTTTAATGAGAATTAACTTGCATCAAATAGAGGAAGGACTAACTTAGATTTTGATATATCACAGTTGTATTTCACTTAAAAATTCACAGAGATATTAATGTTTAAAATCGGGAGCATATTTCTGGATGTGTCTGAAATATGGAAAAACGGCGTATCAAATATTAATCAAGATTTGCCCGACTGAAACATGCACTATTACCAGTAAATAAATGGCACTTGACAAATCGTTTATTATGAAACAAAGTATTATTATCTACAAAATAAAAGCAAGACTTATTCGTCCGAAATCCGCATGTGTTCCCAGCACGAATACGTTTCCTTATTTCATGAGAACCACTGCATCGCGAAGGATCGTCATGGATCGTTCGTAGTTCTGAATTAGGGCATGCTATCACAATGGAATTGTGGATTTTCTAACTTCACATTGAATGAATTTTCTAACTTCTTCAACGTTCTGAAATCTTGTTAAGAACACCCAAACTCTTTTGCCTTTTTTAATCTTAGCAAGTTCAGAATAAACTGAGAATGAAACACGATCAAACCATACAACTCCATAATTAAAGGCATAACAAGCAATTCCCCAGAGACATCCAACATTTTTGGAACAAAACGTAACAAAATAGTAGCGTTGACACTGTGATGTGTATTTGCAAAAAGCAATATCATTTCCTTCATTAAATAATAATATTCATCCTGCTCTAACCGAGAAATAATCAAATTTGTTTTGAACCCATGTAAAACATAAAAAAATTAGGCTATTTAAGAAAAATTTAAGCGCCTGCCTTCAAGGTCTTTCATGTAACTTTAAGTTTGCAAAGCCAAAGACCTATTAAATACTTTCATAATTTTGAACGTCCATGTTTCAGGAAACAATGAGCTAAGACTTACATGTAAGATGTCTAAATCTACGCCATATATCCCTTACAAACCCTAACGACAATTCGCTGAAATACCAGTTAGCCAGATATGTCAATAAGCAAACAAACGCTAGAGTTAATATTTGATATGCTGATTTTCGCTAATTTTAGACACATCCCAAAATATGCTCCCGATTTTGAACATTAATATCTCCGTGAATTTTTAAGTAAAATACAACTGCAATATATCAAAATCTAAGTTAGTCCTTCCTCTATTTAATTCAAGTTATTTCTGTTTCATAGCTATACTTGTTTAGAAGTTATTATAAATCAAACCGGAGTACTTTTTTTTGGGACACCCGGTAGATTTGATTGACATTTTGTCAACATTAGTAGTCTGAACCACAGAATAAAGATTCCACACAGTACTCCCACTCAAGTCGGAACCTTTGATGTAAATGTCCCCGCGCATGTCGCCTCGTGCATCACGGCCATTTTCCCAGCAAGTAAAAATGGAGGATTTTATATTGAGTTATTAGGGAGTTAACTGCAAAAAGTGGATTTTCAGTGACGATTTCCTTCTAAATCATCAAACAATCGATGACTTATTTAAAAAGAAGGTATGTGGTCTTATCTAGTCTCATTTACATGCAAAGAATATTTAAAGTTTTGAAGCTGTAATTTAACAATTTAGAATTTTAGTGCGGTGTTTGTCGTCACCAAGATACTATTCATAGTTAGCTCTGAGTTATTTTTATATTTTTCTTTGTACATTAGCAATGCAAAATATATTCTTACCTGAAAAATTTGTATAATTGCTTTGCTTAATTTTGAAAGATGTCATGCTATGTCATACCGTTTCTGGTTGGTAATTGGCATATTAAATCCATTGCAAGCACAATTTCAAGAAATACAAGAATCATATGTATTGTTGGAGATATGTAATTGGCTGGCTGATTACTGATTAGTTGTATACTAAGACTTAAGTTGATCAGTACACTTTGCTTTTAGATTTTTCAAATTATTTAATATCCATTTTAGTTTAATATTAATGATACTGTTCTTGCATGCACTTACCAGTATATCAAAACTGTCTGTACCAGTGTTGGTAGCAACAATATGAAAATGCTGTGCTGAGTGGTTATATTACTACCTTAAAAAATAAGCAGAAGCTCGACGTTTCGAGCGAAGGCCCTTCGTCAAGCAGGTGCTGCTACTAACTCTTGACGAAGGGCCTTCGCTCGAAACGTCGAGTTTCTGCTTATTTTTTAAGGCAGTAATATAACCACTCAGCACAGCAACTTACCAGTATACCACTTTAATATAATAATATCCTTTTTTCAGTTTGAAAGATCACAGATGAAACAACTTCCATGATTTGATTTGATCAACTTCTACAAACATTAACTTTGAACTTTAATTGTAACAATTCAAAATGGGAACATTTTGTAATCTGGACATTTTTTATCAATATAGACACATGGTGACAAAGTGTCTGTGATGAATATGTCTTCTATAGTAAATCTAGTTGTTCCACATATCGAAGAAATTGTGCGGTTGTGCACACTTTTTTGCAGTTGTGAAAACGCACAACTGCAAAACCTCTACCTTTAAGCCTGAAAAGCACAATAGACATGCTTATGTCTCTTTCTTAATGGTTCTATTCCTAATTATGCCTTGCATTGTGGGATTTGCCATTCTACATTATGCATTTATGCGTGCCCATTGTTTTTTTCGCATGTGTTATAGGTTAAGATTATGACTTTGAAAAAACAACCATGGATAACTGAATTGGCTATAGCATGAATGAGATCAAACATGCCACATTTAATATCTATATGCAATTCACTACTGTCAATTATTTTATGTGTACATTATAGTATATAGACGCTTTTCCATATAATAAACTGTTATAGAATTCTAACAGTCTACACTATTGCCTGTCTCTATAACCTTCATTTGCCAACATGATATAATAAAACAGCTTGTTATACTGCCCAGCTTGTTATACAGCCCATGGCTGCTGAAGCATAATTTAAGAGGTCAAATACACAATTTGTGCATATTTTCAGAATTCAAAAAGTGAGAGGTCATGCATGGACACTAAACCTTGATTCTTTTGAACATTCATAACCTCAGCTCCATGCAACATTTTCAATGATGGCAACTATATATCGAACATCTCGGCAAAAGTTAGGCCATCAAAGCTAACGACTCAGCTTTATGATCCTATAAAACAATTACAAAGGGATATACATGAAATGTTTTTGAAGCTTTTCAAGATTAAATTATATAAAAACATGTCTTTTGGTAATACAGTATTTTATCCCAATGAACCTTAATCCTTCAATGCTATTTAATAGGAATATGATGTATATAGACCATCTAAAAAAGCAAGAGATGTCTGACTTCAAGTTTAATATAAGTAGATCCAAAAGACCGAAATATATAAAATTATGCACAAATTATCCACTTCCCTCCTCAATAACATAACAGTGAAACGTCGTGATAACTTTTAGTGAATTCTTAACATATTTCTTTCAAAAACCCCAAAAGAAAAGACACGACTGCTATTCAATGGTCGCCATTTTGATTTTGATTTCATAAGAATTACGTAATTTTTGCAAAAAAAATGACGTAATTCGTCATTTT